ACCTAATATGATATGTATTTAGCTCCTGCCTTGTCAACTCTGAAATGATCACTTTGATTTTAACCATTATTGTAATTTTAGAAAATAAAACGACTAGATTTTGAAGTTGAAATTGAAGCTTCTTTTTCTTTGCTGTACCTACTTGTGTTTGTAACTAAATCGAATAGAGCAACAAATGCACAGCTACTTTTGGATCTTTGGGTATGGTCTCCTGTGCCACAAACTTTGTAAATAAATCAACAGAACTGTGTGACCCAGGTCAGAAAAGATCACACAGACACCAGCTTCAAGTCTGGTTAGCAAATCTGGGTATCATTGCCTCAAGCATGCCATGTCAGTATGGGCAGCCTCTGAAGCTACAGGGTTGCTGAAATGCAGTGGAAAATGTAGGTCCTGTTGGATCAAAACTAACCAACTATGAAATAGTGAACTCTTTCTAGACCACAAGCATATTTAAGCAGAAAAGCAGCATCCCACCATGCAATTGCTTTGGCCAGCTGTGTGAAATTGCCTTGGGCAGAGCCAGACTCTTCACTGTGCCAATTCATCATTAGTAGAATTTAGGGTATGCATCTTTTGAAGCCAAGAAAATGGTAGGGTGGGGGAAGGAGAATCTGAATACCTGGGTAATTTTTGGCAAGCAGACCAACTGGACACAACCATGCTCTAAATTTTGCTCAGTGAAAGGATCATAGCATAAATGCTGGGAATAAATGTCTAACTGATTTGTTTGCTCTTGCTCACTTGAAAAAAAGAGCACTAAATCAGCCATAAACATCGGACAATAGTTTTCTATCCAGAGAAATGTAAAACAGAAATTATTCATTGCATTATAGCAACACAGAAAAAGCTAATATCTTTATAGCCCCACTTAAAAAAAAAAAGAGTCAACAAATATTTACTATCCATTTACTTTGTGTTAGGAGGTGTTACAGTGGATACCTGAGAAAAGCTCACTATCTTTGAAGGTTTTATGTTCTAATAATAAACTAAAAAACAAATAAAAATTGTGTGGGGGTGGTGGAAAGAGAAAGAGAGAGAATATCCTCTAGAGAGAGAACATAAAGAATATATGAGATCTATCTGGAAAGCATCCAGCCATAGTTAATATAAGAACAGTCTGTGCGACACTGATGTAACCTGGCAGCCAAGGCGAATGGACTGGGATGCGCATGTGTGAACAATGACACCCATCACTGTACTAGTCAGTGGGGCACTAGACACTGTTGAGTGAGCATGTGTACTGTGCGACCACTGCACTCTAAATGACTGAACGAGTAAAGCAACTAATCTGCACCAACATTTGCATTAAGCTTGAACATTCCTTTGCTGGGAAGGACGCTGAGAAAAGTGTGTTAGGTGCCAAGGTGCTACCTTGAAGGGGACCGAGGCATCATTGTCCTATGTACAATGTTTCCTGTATCTCGTATCTTCTTCAATAAGTATCCTATTTTTCTTATTACATGGCTGGATACTTTCCAAACAGACCTTGTATAATAATGTAATATATTATAATACGCTAATATAATTAAGAGAAATTGGGACAGGAAGGAAGTTTGAAGGTGAGCACTTCTTTTTACTAGAACTGTCACAGAAGACGTACCTGAAGTGACAACTGAGTTTGTATGCATTCATTTATTTATGAAACACATACTGTAGGATAGAAAGTTTTGTAAGCACATGCCAATATCTGTGAATGACAGACAAGGATCCCTACCATCACTACTTTCTAGGGATGGTGGAAGAAGGAGAACCAAAAATCTGACCAAGTAAACATAATAGATAATGAATATGAGAGACTGTGATATGTGCCACAGGAAAGGTGATGCATATAAGTGGCATCCTAGGAGCTGGTAGAAAGTTGTCATTTAAACAAGGTGATCAGGCATAACACTCGCACCTCCCCATGTCAGCCAGGCCCTGTGAGAGCCCTACTGCACCTGCGTCCTCCATCCCAGGAGTGGGCGCCCCTGGGGCGGAAGTGCAGCTTTCACATCCGGAGCGAGCAGGCACGCGGGGAAATTCTGAGGGCAAGGAAGTGGGTCCTGTTGCGTGGCCTTATGGCAGGAAAGCGAGGTGCCGTAGGTCGCTGGACTGTCTGCATGCTTCTTGTTATTTTAACTCTCCCCTGCCATCTGCGTGGCCACCGCCTTGGTTCATGCCTTCATCATTCATGGAGCTAAAGTAAAGTTTAATAATAGCATACTCTCTGGTCCTGTCTGGTATTGCTCCAGGGGAAGATCCTGGTTTGCAGGTCCTGAAGTTTATACCAGTTTAAGATCCTTATTTAGGAAACAAATAAAAATCATGAATATGCAAAAAAATAAATAAGGTAATCAGGGAGGCCAGTTGAGAAGACAATATTTAAGCAAAAACTTGAAGGAAGTAAGAGAGCTAGCCATGAGATAGATATTTTGGGTAAGGGTATTCCGGGCAGAGGGAACATCTAATGCAAAGTCTTGGGGTAGTTTGCTTGGGGACTATCAGAAATAGCAAAGAAACCAGTATGTCTGGAGCAGAGTAGTGAGGGGACAAGTAGTATGAGATGGTTGCAGAGAGACAATGGGAATCCAGGCCATGTGGCACCTTATAGAACATTGTAAGATCTCTTGGTTTGGTTTTGAATGGCAAGTCCATGACTGTGTGTCAAACTGTTTTTGCTTCACAAGTCAGCACTGCTTTGTTTGGTAGACGACAAAGTTTGAGAGCAGTAGGTGCACCTGCTCAGAATGAAACCCTCCTCTTTTTCTCTCAACCTCTAAAAAAATTCCACCCAAAAGCCCTATCCATATTATCTTCCCAACACACATGCACCTATGTGTGCTCTTGGCAGAGATAACCATTTGTGGAAGTCAGTGGTTCACCACCTTGGCTGAGACTCAGAATCACTGGCATAACTTATTAATTGCACACATGTCAAAGGTCCACTTATGTGAATCTGATTCAGATCTAGGTTAACACCTGGGTCTTTTTTTTTTTATTTAAAGCTTTTAAAAGATGACTCTGATGGGCTGTCACATATAGGTTTCACTGCTCTAGATCCCAGTTACTCAGTGTGTGCCAGCAATATTATCTAATAGCATCACTTGGAAACTTGTAAGAAATTCGGAATGTTAGGCTTTGTCAGAGAACAATGGAATTAGAATCTATATTTCAACAAAGTCTTCACCTGAGTTGCATGCACATTGAAGTTTGAGATACATTTCTCTAGATCATTGCCTCAATCCTCAATTCTCTTATGCTCAGTCTGGATATGTCCAGTAGTTAAAATCTGTTCTGAAAGTAAATGCAAACCAAGGAAACAAAATAATCTTCCCAACAGAAACTCTTCATAGGACTTCTTATATAAATCTGTCATTTTCACCCATGTTTTTATAAGCTGGAAACAATTTGTAAAATGTTTATGTGGCCAGAAATCTAACATGTTAATTCTGTATAATTTGATATAATAATACAATTATTTATTAATTCTTTTTTAAAACCTCTTTTAAAAGTTGTTCTGGAAAACTCCTGAAATTGAAAATATCTCTTTTTCTAGGTAGGTAATATGAGTGGCCTCTTCTGCATGTTTGAAATTAGAAAATGTTCAAATTCATATAGGAAGAATAGAGGGTGTGTTTTTCAGGGTTTGGCAAACAATGTAAATTTTTTTTATTTTTTTCTCTTTCTCTCTATGCTTTTAATAAGTAGACATAGGAATACACTTACGGCTCAGAATTTTTTTTTCCACATAAGTATTTTTAAATCATTAATAATGGCCTATAATCAAAATAAAATATTTTTATTAAAAAGTAAATTGAAGAAAGTAATTGGGGTTTCACATATACATGAATTAAACCTAAAAGCATAATTCAATATGGTACACTAGAAATTATCACTCATTGGTAGGGTCAACTGGTAATAATGAAAGATTATTAGCTGAATAAAAAAAAAAAACAGCAAAATAAGTAATTGTTTTAAGAGAGCAAGGAAAGCAAAATACTTTGGGAACAGCATTGAAATGCCATCACAGACTTTAAAAAATCACTGGCAAGATAAATATACTGCATATAAAAATGTTATTTAAAAGCAATGTATATATTCCTCTGAAGTAGGTTAGAGAAAGAAAAAAATTAAAAGCAATTCATAGACTTCCATTTTTTTTAGAGATCTTTTATGTACAATATTTCATTTCAACCTCAATATAATTCCATGAGTTCAGAAAGTCATAATCCTTATGGTTGCTCCTCAGAAGAATGTACTCTTTAATCATTCATTAACCGTGAATAACTCTTCTCTAGTTCCTTCCTCATCTTCTAAAGATTCAGTGATATAAAGGGCATGGAAGGATAGTGTATTAAATTAGTGTATTAGTGTATCAATAGTGTATTAAATTAGTTTGAATAATTCAGGTCAAAAAACTGACTTTTACGGAATTACCTCAGTAAAAGAAAAATATGAGTTGTATCTGTTTTCTTGAGTATTGTGGAAGTTGCAGGGGTAAGAAATTTACTAATTAATTCTGACTTATACTTAGGAATTCTAAATAATGTTTTCAAATCTTTCTTCAAAATGGAGCCATTGCAAAACCAGAGATATATTCATTTGAGTCACTAACAATCAAAAGGCTATTGTCTGGGGAAAAATGGTTCATGAAGGAAGTTCAAATATTTGGAAAACTATTTTTAAAGAAAAACAAGTTTTTAGTAAAATGCACATCTTTTTACCCTATTTCAGTACTTCCGAAACATGGCCACACACTAGAATTATTCATGTTATTTAATAAAAATGAAAAGTTCTAAAGTTAATCCATGAAGATTCTGATTCAATTGAGCTCTAGAAGTGGAAAATATTTTTAAAAGTTCCCAACAGACTTGGATAAGACCAGTCTAAATATGAAGATTTATAATCTATGCCAAAATATGCAACTATATAGGATTATGTTAAAGATCTAATAAACTAAAAACAAAAATTTAAAAACTGATAATATGTAACTCATAAAAATCTAGGAACATTGTATTTGAGTGTGGAACTGCTAGAAGATTTAGATAAATGTTTTTTTCTATAATATAGAAAAATATAGATAATTCTGTAACTTGCTTAGGTTAGATCGAACAGTTATCTATCTCAGATATCCACTACATGGGCCACACAGTGCAATTGGACACTCATGTCAGTGTCCTGCAGTAAACAGAATCCTTTCAAGCAAGAGTAAAACCAAGTTAATATCTCTGCAGTTATTTTCTACACTCCATTATGTTATGTTTATTCTTACCAGTCCTTGCTGTGTGATTGCTTCAACTACAGCTATTTCAGGATTCTGCTTGTGAAATGAAGGAATAAAGTATTTGGTGTAGAGATTTTAGGGCTGTTTAGAAGGAGCTTGTAAAACTTTTTTGAGATTAAATTCTGCTTGATGGATTTGTCTTGTTTTATTTAATTTTATAATTTTCCAATATTTTTGTAAACTTCTGTAATGTTTATGAACTACTTTCATAATTAGAAAAAAGAATTTCAAAAATAAATCAAATGAAAATTGTAAGTGGTATGAATATTGTTAAAATGATCAAAGATACCTATACCAGGTGTCTTATTCAAGTGGCAAGATAATTCATTGATTTAATTTGTGTGTTTTCATTCTTGTTAATATTATTCCTTCCCTTTTTATCAAGCTGTATCTTTGACCTCATTGCCTCAGAAGCAAAGCAAAAATTGCTTGCAGCCAGTCTACATTACTTTTTCTTCCACTCAAAAATTTGAGTTCTTTGAGGGTTTAGGTACTGAGGGTTTAAGAGAGAAACCAAGCAAGAAAATTGTCTTTGCAGGGGGAAAGAATGAGTCAAAGGCTGTGTGTTGGATTTAAGGGACTCAGATTTTTTTAGATCCAGGTGTTTCACAGTATGCCAGAGCTAAGGGCACTTGGTACAGTGAAATAATTTGTGCATCTGAGTTAGTGGAATATGATACATAGTCATTATACTTTTCTTTTCTCTTCTCAAATACTAATTAAAGTTTCTTTTATATGCTTATACGGTGTGGAAGAATATTTCTCACAGTAAATGATACTGATTTTTTGCATCAAGATCTCCAAAGATATTTGTTAAAACATAATGCTAGTCACTGAGCCCTTTTCAGCTTTATTAAATTAGAATTTCTGAGAGCTAAGAAGCTGTAATTTAAATGAGCTACATAAGTCATTTTAATCACAGTAAAGTTTGAAATCTGTTGTTATAAAGGCATAAATTAATGTTTATTAAAGACCTTTATATTCAGAAACTAACATTCATTATATCATCATGCATCTAATATTAATTCTAGGGGCAAATGTTCCAACCTTTACTCAGTCTGAGAGGATGTCTTCTCTGGTCCACAATAAGATGAGAAAACAAAGAGAATGCAGTGAGTATATAACTAAGACACCATACCTTTTCCTTTCCTAATTCTTGACCTACTACAGAACTGATTGTTACTTACAGAAGGCTAATGAATCTTTATCTTACCCTATTCACCTACATCCATTTGCTTCTGTCTAATCTAAGGTAAGTAAACATGGTATTTTTTTTTTTCTGAAAGGACTTTTTGAGAAGGTACTCACATGAAGCAGATGCTTGAAAAATGCATAGCAATTAGCATAATTTCTCTTTGGCCCATAGCCATTTGGGTATGGATTTGGAATTAGAAAGAGGGACACAAGGTTGAGGGATAACACTTTGGAGTCTACATGGAAGGCAAAGTACCTTTTAGAGAATATAGTATATTTAATATAAACTTAAAAATTATTTGTCAAGTGTGGGTATATATGTACACATATACATTTTACAGTAAATACCCGTTAACAGCCACACATCTTCAATATATTGTAGTGAAGAAACCTCAGAGGGTACTGAAACGTGGAAGTGCCAAAATCTGACCCAGACGTGTGAGCTATACCTAAAGTCCCAGGTCTCATCCAGACAGTTCTGGGTAAGCCTTCCCTACATTCCTTAGGCAATTTGTTTTAAGCAGGATGACTTAGATTTGTGATATTTACTTCGGTCCATTTATTATATCCTCCAGATTGTAGTAATGGAGGGAAAAAAATGATTATAAAATGAGACTGGACTGCATTTTGAGTGGAGTTTTCTAAAACAGAAAAATGAAACTTACAGGGAAGTATCTGTTAGCAGATGGAGAACACAGAATCCTTGACATTGGGTAGCAAGACTAGTTTCTGGAAGTTTTTCCATAGGGGCCTCACTCTTCTGAAAATCCCTTGGTTAAATGATTCATAATATTAATAACATGGGAGTTTCCCTAACACTCATCATAAGAGGAAAGACATTTTTTCCCTTATTCTCACAGGGTGTAGGTGGGATGAGGAAATTTTAATTGTTGACAACTGGCCTTAAAGTCTACATGAACTTTCCCCCAAAAAAGATAAAATTAACCATAATGCAAGCAATGTGGAATGACTGATTGCTTTTAATGTTCTTCTTAGAAAATAAGATGGGTTCATTGAACTCATCTCAAATGAGGTGATAGAATTATGACTGCCTATTACCATAACCCATTGTTTCTGACCAAGTGGAAGTCATAAAAGTGGCCAAATTCCTCTTTACCTTGCAACAATCACCTGGTTGTAAGTAATACCAATGGGAATACTCTATGGGAAGCCCAGAATACTGAATGCTCTATGGGAAGCCCAGAACTGCTCAGAGTTTTAGAAAAGGAGGAGGAAGAGAAAGAGTCATTTTAATTATGACTAAGGGCTGAAACCTGTAGAGATACAACCTGAATGTGTTTAATACTGGTTTGGAGTAAATGATAAAGAAGCATAGTGGATTGACCTCTGCCTCTGTGTAACTTTAGTTTCTTTTACAAGAACCAAATTAAAATTATATGAACCTGAGATTTGTTTTAAAACATTCCAGAAAAGAAGTTATGGAATCAATTTAAATGAGATTGGTAAATCTTTTATAATTATTAAAGTTGACTGAATAGGAGTACATGTAGATTTATTATTAACCTTCACTTTTCTTTATGTATGCTTGAAAATTATGTGATTAAAAAAAATACATTGAGTTTTAGCCCAGAAAATGGTGTCATCTCTGACTTTAGTTCTGAAACAATGACCTTTTAAATTTCTTTTTCTTCTCCTAGCCCCCAAGGTGAAGTCTGGCTTTTTGTATATCAACACCTCTGTTGAAAACATTGTAACATTATAATGGGGAGGGTGATGGTCCTGAAACTTTAGACCATTATCAGTAAACAAGTTGCTGTGTATTGTAGTCCATGTTAGAAATGGAAGAATTGGAAAATAACACTTAAAAAATCTTCCAACTGATCTGGTTAATTGAAGACATAACAACTTCCTTTCCCAAATATAGTAGTAGAGAATGATTTTTAAGGAATGTTTGTATGTGGTTTTATTTAGTAGTAAGTTGCCAGCTGTCTCTTCTTGGGAAGGATTGGCTTTAATCCTGATAGTATGTTCTTCCTCCATTTTGTCTTAAGAGGTCTTTTCTTTATCAAGTGAAAGTTCTAACATATGGTAGAATAGGAAAATATTTTTTAAAACTCATTTCATATTTTTCTTCAAAATTGTTTTGGAATTATTTCAAAAAATCTAGGAATGCTGTTTTTGTTTAATATTCTTTTTGTCAATTCCATCTCTTCATCTCCTTGCTTTAATCATCTGCTTCTCCAATTTCTCCCTTCCATAATAATATTTCTTCTCTATTCCATCCAGTCCCATTATGTTAAGCAGTTTATGCTATCACAGATATCTTTCTTGTCCTTTTTTTTTAAATCACTACTGACTCTGGTCATCACCTAAGATTTCTATGAGCACGTTATAAGCTTGTGAAACAGAAAAATGCATAATATGTAGAAGTAATACCTGGATCTTCCATTTTGCAGCAGTGAAAAGATGATGAAGGAAATAAACGATTTTCAACTTCTTATGTCCGACATTTTTCTAGAGGTATGTTGGTTGGGTGATAGTGAGTATGTTTATAAAGGTCTAGTTAAAAAAAAAAAAAAAAGCCAGAAACCACACTAGCTACTTTAACAGAGAAAATCTAATATACGTAATTGCTTTAAGAAGTATTGGTGGGCTCGATACAAAAAAGGTATCACAAAGAACGTAAAGGGAGGAAGTGGCCACATTCTTAAGGTCAGGGGAAAAGGGAAGAGGTTGAAAGTATTAGAACTTAGAAGTTTAGAAGAGGAGCCCTGTAGAGCTAAGATTCAGTCTTCTTAGAAAGGGAGCAGGCCAACTGGTGGTGATGTTTTAGGAGCCTGGAGGAGGAGCTCTAGGTGAGCTCAGCTGAGCTAGGAGCTAGGCCTTGCAATGGAAGATGCTGCTTGCCTGGTGCTGGTACTTCAGAAGCTCAAATCCAGTGCTTTGCAAAGATGGGACCCAGATCTCTAAAGAAAGTATTCTATCCAGTTGGAAGCTCTAAGGGGATATAATGAGACCGCTTTGGGAAGGGAACTATCATCAGGGCAACACTGTCAGGAATATCACTAGCATCACAGAACAGAGAACAGAAGTTTGGGTTTAGAGATGAGATAAAATAAATTACCAGCACAATGAATCCCTTCTGCTACTCATCTCCTATATACACCTTTATCCATATATGAGAATACTCATATAACAATAATAACTATTTTATCCTTTTGCCTAAAAGTATTTGGTTATCATTTATACACATGAAGATGTTCTCATTTATTCCCTAAAATGGGCAGACACAAAATTCAGTCAGTCTTAGATTCCATCCCCAGATACTCTTCATTAGTCCTCACCTAAGAATTCTGTAATGGAAAGACTAATTTATAAAGTTGAGCACTCATGAAAATCCTTAATAAAATAATAAAGGTAAGAATGAAGGACAAAGTAATTGGCACATACACACATTACATTACAACATGCTAGGAGGAATGCTGGCTTAGCTGCTATAATACTTGTGTTTGTAACCAGTCATGAAGCCATAGCTGATATCAGGCCCTGATTTGTAGAATTTGCTGATTTATATGATGCAAATACTCCCACAAAGGCTGATTTCAAGCTCCCAAAGTGATGTCACTGAATACGGAGTTGGGAAATAATGCACATCAGTGATTCTGGGAAATCCATATGAGCCTACTCTAGCATGTCTCTTCTTTCATAGTCTTGGAAGTTAAATGCACCTTCCCATTTTGCATTTGGCCATTTTGCACTCCTAATTCCATGGAAATAAGATGCAAAGAGGAGAGTATACCAGCTAAGGCAATGAATCCTATCAACAAGGATAAACTGGGGGTGCTGCTAACAGTGGGACAAGAAAGACTTGTGCTTGAAACCTATGGGATTCTCTAGGGGCTTCTCTCATTTTTCCATTCCAATTGGTAAAATTAATGAAAAATTACAGCAAAACGAAGAACAAATAGACAAACCAAAATACAAACAGACAGATGGGGCAGGTCCACATCTGATTCAGACCTTTCAGAAATGAAAGTTGAAATCACTACCAAGTAAAAACTTTCAACCAGCTAAGACCCTAACAGAAAGCAAAGGGCATATGGAATGCATAATAGGTAAAGATCATTGACTGTAATTTTTGTGTCCCCAACACCGAATAGTGTTTTTGACACATTTAACTGCTCAATGAATATTTGGCAACAGAATAAAATTTGTCTACCCAGATAATTATCTAAATTGTCATTAAACCAAGTGGTACTTTCTGAATTAAATTATCAACTACATTAATGACTTTAGTTTTGCAATTCCCATTGTTTATTTCCCAATATATGTATGTCAAAATATAACCAAAAAGTGACTAAATGAACTTTGCCATCCTGATAAAAATCTTCTGAGTAATCCTGATTAGAGATTCCCAAGTTCCTCACTTTGCTTTTCATTTTATTCATATGAGGGATTTTGGAAAACTAAAGATAAAACATTCATCTTCAACTGACTTGAATAGCAGGTGCAGAATAATAATAAATTGTTAATTCGGATACTGAGATTAAAGGAAGAATAACACAAATCCTCATGTAGTATACATTGTTTACTGATTCTCAGCATCAGCCCTTACTGTCAAAGCCCTCCCAAAAACTGCAGGGGAAACAAGCTAAAAGACACATTACCAGAATCCGTTGCCAGTAAGGGAGTGGCAAACACACTTGTAAGTTTGGGAGGTGGGAGAAAAGGGGAATTCTGTCACAGATATGGGCAGGTGTGTGGGCAACAGCAGGAAAGCAATAAATGAAGGGTATTTTGGGGCAACCACAGGGATTCCTTCTGAGAAGTATCCACTTCAGTGTTCTGTGGCTTGAGATCATTAGTGGAGGTTTCCTGAGGTTTTCAGGAGTCCTTTTGAAAATGACCCACATTGGTACTGCAGGCAGCTGAGGTCACTGGTGACAAACTCCCTGCTCTACTTTCATTTCTCAATTTCCTTAAAGTAACTTTTTCTCATGTCTTGCAATGGTTTGGAAAGCTTCTAGTTTTCTGTTTATATCTCTTTCCTGTATCATGTTTATCTGTGATTACCTATGCATGACACACCATTCTGTCCCATACTTTTTTCTTATAAGTGATATGAATAAGGTGGAGGAATAAGCAAAAAGAAGGCAGAAAAGATCAATATATGTTGATTTTTTCTTTGAAATCAATACAAAAATTTCCTAGTCCTAGGGATCCTTAGGGATGGGTCAGGTAAACATTTGCCAAAAAATACTTGAAAACAGTATTGTTTTAGGAATCTAGCGATCACATCTAAAATTAATGCTGCAATATTGTAGTTCTGTGAACCATTGGGCAGCAACGAAGGAATGGGCATTCTGAACCTTTATAGAATTGTTATTAAATTACCTAAAATATGATAGAATAATAGCAGTAAACATACTGCTAACTTATATTAGCACTTAAAAATGCTTCAAGGTACAGGATGCATAATTTTCTCATAAAAGATTCACTTTCCATCTACACTATGGTCACACTAGCTAAACTAGTCTCATCTTTTATGGACTTACCTCCTCACTCTTCCTTTTATACTTCTCCCCATTTCCACCAACACAAATCCAATTTATACTCGGCATACAAAGTATAGTTTTGAAAACAAAATTAGGATCACCTGAATCACTTGTTTTAAAACTTTCAGGGCTTCATTTTCTTTTATTAAAAATTCCAAATACCTTTGTCCAGGGGAGCCCTGCAAGATACGGCTGCTGCTTATCTCTCAAGCCTTATCTCATAATATTATACCCTTCTCCTTAATACAATGCAGCCACTCTGCCCTCTACATCTCCTTCCCTCCTGTGCTTTAGTACCTTGGCATCTGTTGTTCTTTTTACCTGGTAAATACTTCTTTTGTGCCTTTTTGAAAAACTTTTGTATTATGTAATAATTTCAAATTTACATAAATGTTACCAGATAGCATTAAGAACTTCCATAGACACTTTTTCTAGATTAGGATACTCTCATTCATAACCAAAGTAAAACAATCACAATTGTGAAATTACCATTAATCAAATAATCCCTTCATGATGGGGGCTGGCCATGGCTACCAGGAAGATCAAACACATGATTAGAGAGTTGGGACTTTCAGCTGCTCAACCTCTGGAAAGAGAGCCTGGAGACTGAGTTCAATCAGGTGACCAGTGATATACTCAATCACTGAAACCCCAATAAAACCTTTGGACTAAAAAAAATAATAGTGATTAAATATTATTATCTAATTCATAAACCCTATTCAAATATTTCAAATCTCACAATGGTCCCAACAATATACTTTAAAGGAATAGAATCCAGTCCAGGACTATACGATACATTTAATTGCCATGTCTCATTAGTCTTTTAGAATCTGAAACTATTTCTCAGGCCCTTATGTATCTCATATCTTTCATGACAAGATTGAAGAGTACAGGCCAGTTACTTTATAAAATGTTCTATATTGATTTGTGTTCTTCTCATTACATTGTATCAGAAAGTACAGGATGGCTAATTGTTACATTACTGGCAGTGTCAACTTTTATCATTTGGTTAAGATAGTGCCCGGTTTCTCCAGTGTAGAATTAATTAATGTATGTATGTATTAATTCATAAGTATTTTAAAGTATTTTAAAGTATTTTTAAGTAATATATAGGTATTTTGTAGAATATGCTTTGACACTCTGTAAACATCCTGTTCCTCATCAAAATTTCACCCATCAATTTTTCTATCCATTTATGATTCACGCATGAATTAATTATTACTATTATGGTTATCAAATGCTGATTTTCCAATTTCACCATTCCTTTTACACCCATTAATTAGTATTCTATGTAAGGACAACTTGCCCTCCCTTCCATTTAATATATAGTTATTTATCTATGTATATCTGTATAGATTTTGGATTTCTTTTTTATTCAAAGTTATATAATTGTTACTATCATTATTTATTTTCTTGCTCAAATTCTCCCATATGTGGTCAGTGGAAGCCCATTCAAAGCTGTTGCTGTATCCCTTTAACACATCTCTATCATTCTCTGGGCATTTCCTTACTTCCAGCCCAATAAGTTGTTATGAGCTCATCCAATATTTTTCCTGTCCAAGTCCTGGAGTCAGCCACTTCTTCAAGGAACCCTGGTTTCTTAAAGGAAATTTATAAACCAAAGTCGGAGTTGTAGTTGTCCTCATTTCAAATGGAGCATCATTATATATTGGCTCGTCTGTGGAGAGATTTTGAAAAAAATATGTGTATATACATACATATATACATACATACCTATATATCTCTATTTCTAACCCACTTATCTATAATTTATTTTTAAAAATAATTATTTCACACAGCTACTCTGAAACCTGGTTCACTTTGTTCTCAGTTTATTTGCTTATTTTCTTGATCCTCCTATATTGTATGTATCAATCTTCTTAGAGTCCTGGCAAAAGCTCAACACCTGTGGAGGGGGAAAAGAAGGAAAAGGAAGGAAGAAAGAAAGAGGAAGCCTCACCATGTCTTTTAGCTAGTTCAATTTCATTCTTGAGATCTTAGCTCAAATACAATCACCTTTTAAAATCAGCCCTTTTCATATAGTAATATATAGGTCCTAAGGAAAAATATAAGAAAATTGACTACCTAGTTGTTATAATGTTTTATTTTTTTTATGTGTCAATTTTTGATGCATTTCTCCAGCAAACAGATTAAGGTCTCAGATTCTTTGAGACATGATTCTGCCACTTACTAGCACTGTGAACTTGGGGAAAAGATTTTAATCCTCAAATATAAAATGGAAGTCATACTATGAAGATAGCTAACCCACAGAAATTGTATGAAGAACAAATGAGATCAGAACTGTGAAGTTCTTGGCATGAGCTTTATCTAGCATGTAGTAAACAGTCATAAAATGTTTGTTGTTGCTGAAATATATTTTGGGTAGTATTGTTGCTATCAAGTTCAATTCATGTTAATATTAGCATTAGCATTCTTCAGATTTATTTTCTAAAAGAATTTATGTATCCCCCAAATCATAATCATACACTGTACAGTTACTATTAAACTATATGGAGATTTTTTTCTTGAGAAACATGATAAATTCACAGCAATGAAAAATATTGCATATTTTGAAGCATATTATTCAACTGATGTGAATAAATTTGTTAGCCTACCTATTAGAAAGAGGTTCTATTTATTTTCAAAGATAATTCATGGAACTTTACATACACTAATACACACACATATACATACACAATAATAGAAAAACTGGCTTTTAAGTACTTATATTTTAAGTACTTATAAGTACTTTTTAAGTACTTATATTCAATAAAAGTGTTTTCAAAATAGTTTACTAATGTCTACAATTGTTAATGGAACATCAGTACATTATGTCAATTTTCTTGATACTTACTCTCATTATAGAAAACATGTTTGTTTAATAATTTTTATGTATATTTTATTTTTAACAATCAGTAATGTTGGTCTTTCCATATTTTATAAAGCTTTTATTTCTACATAGAAATAAAAATACATTTTATTTTTAAATTACATGGTAGTAGAGGTATGTAAAATAAAGATTTTACATAAACATGCACCATCCAAAGCACCAATTGTCACTTGGACAAGCAGAAATGAAAATACTTGAAAACCTCATATAGAAATGTGCTACTGCCCTCTTATGGAAGATACAAAAATGACACTCCTGTTTTACTTCTTGTTTTATTCTTGGTTGAGGTGGAAAGAGAAATAAGATTTAAATAATATGATTAAATTCATTATTCATTATTCTGTTCACTTACTGTTTTTCTTCTTTGTTAATTTCCTGACTACAAAATATTTTTAAATTTTTTATTTGTATAATTTTTTTCTTTAAGCCTATCAGCATATAAGTTTTACAAATTTCTTTTTCATATAGTGTCCTCAATTTAAACCTGTCAGAATTACAATTATATATTCAGTGCAAAATTGAAATATGATAGTTAAGCAATTAAATTTGAGGGTGGGTAAAATGCTCATTTTAATGTTTAAACTATGGTTGATTAACACAGAAAAACTGGATATAGGTTGAAAATAATAGTTAACACTATACGAACTATACTGTATTGTCTAAAAGAGCACAGAAAGGTAAATAAACAATAAGTGATAAAAAATGGTTGTGTTGTTTTTGCTATTGGAATGAATCTATAGAAGTTAATCAGAAGGTAGATTTATGTACTTGTTAGGTTAAGATTTGTTTGAATATAAATATTTTATTAAGAGTTGGGGAAAAATAAAAGTGAAACAGTTTTGGATGAGAAAATACTTTTGGTGCTTTATGGATATGAATTATTGTGATTAAGAGTTGCAAAGTAAAAACATAATAGAGGCGGGGCATGATGGTTCACACTTGTAATCTTAGCACTTTGGCAAGCCAAGGTGGGAGGTTCGTTTGAGGCCAGGAGTTTGAGACCAGCCTTAGCAAGAGTGAGACCCTGTTTCTCAAAAAAAAAAAAAAAAAGAAAATTTAGCTGGGCATGGTGGCATGCACCTATAGTCCCAGAGCTTGGGAAGAGGAGGCAGGAGGATTGCTTGAGGTTGCAGTGAGCTATAATGACTCCACTGTACTCTAGCCCAGGTAACAGAGCAAGACCCTGTCTCAAAAAAATAGAAAATAAATTCCATGTTGTGATATCAAAGTGTATGTTACATAAATAATCAGATTTATCTTACTGAAACTAAGTCCTAGAACCAGTTTGCCAGTGGTCTCATTTGTCAAAAGAAATGAAGAGCAAGGTTGGGCACAGTGGTGTGTGCCTGTAGTCCCAACTCAGGAGGCTGTGGCAGAAGGATCACTTAAGGCCAGTGTGAGTTTCAGTGTATAATGTGCTAAGATCATGCCTCTTAATAGCCACTGTACTCCAATGTAGGCAAAATAGTGAGACTTTGGAGAAGAGGGGGAGAGAGAGAAAGAAAAGAAGAAAGAGAGAGAAAGAAAGAAAAGGCAAAAACGAAGAGTAGACATCCTTATTTAGAACCACTAGTTGGTTGGCTAGTTAGTTGGTTATCTATGTCAACATTGCATTACTTCATATAGTCACTCAGAAAAAAAGGATTGTTATGACTAAATTCCTGGTAGAAATGTTTACAAAAAGGCTGAATTCAAATGATTCTATTCAAAAGTGGTTCAAGAAAGTAATAGATTGAATAATGAAACTTTTATTTGATTTGTTTAGCAGAGATTTGGACATCCATGTTCCCTTCTTGCTCAGAGAGGCTTTCTTCATTGTTCAGTTCTTTCAGATATTGATTTAACTGATCTCCTATCTTCAAATGCTGATCCTTTTAATATTGGCTCAAATTAAAACAAATCTTTAGAATGAAGGTGGGAAAATATTTCTGACAAGACAGAGAGAGAGAGTATAACAGACATCTGAAGCTATGAATTCTGTTGATGTTGTCAGTAATGTAGATAGAGGCTAGGGGTAGCAATGTGGCAACGGATCAAATAAATGCCACATTGCTACCATGCTTGAAAATGTTAAGGTTTATTCTGTATTTTCAGATGAGGATATGCTGGGGTATTATGTTCTACTTTTTTTGCTTTTTACAAGCATTCCTATACTGAACACTGAAACAATATATTTTTGCAACTAGTATAATGATACTTTCCTGAGAAAGTATCATTCTATTTTTAGAAAAATAAATGTCAATCTCTTCTAAAGAGCCTTTATCCTTTTTACTATGCAACTGAATGTACTTTGAAAAGGTAATGATGGAAAAAGAATAGCAGCTACGATATCATCATTCATCTATGGAGCATGGCTTCTTTTATTTACATGGTACCACACATATTGCACAGGCATCACCTGACACACTTCTTACCGTTCAAGAAAAGCAGGTGTTTTGGGTTTTGGTGGTGGTGGTGGTGGTGGTGGGTGCTTTGATCATCGTGCTAAGAATGATTGTGGTGTCTTAAGGCAATAGTCGAATCCAAAGGGCATTGAATTTGGGACAAGATAATGTCTAAGTCCCTTTTTTCTTTTTACTGCCACATGAGAAGCATCCTTAAGACAAAGTTTTAGGTAGAAGTGCATGTCATAATAACTAGCAGCTGAGTCAATTTTTGAGTCACTTGTTTAAGGCAAAATAACATATGGAGCATTTCATTCCAGTTCCAAATTGTGAAGGGAAAAATTTGCTACATTCAGTAATAGGTAGCTATGGAAAATGTTATTTTAATATTTCTAATAGTTTCCTAGAGTTTTATGATTTTTCCCATTTTGTCAAAACTTTAAGGCTCAAAACAGTTTACAACTAAATTTATGGGAAAAAATCCATGTAATTGCTATAATTGATATTGATTTTATTCATGCTTAATCAATATAGATATGAATTTCTTTGGGGAGTGTTCAGGAAACACAGTAGCCACAGAATAAGGTCAAAAATTGAAAAGTATTTTAATTTTTGAAGGATTTTTTTGTCATTAATTTCACCTTCTCCTCACCAAAATAATCCCCTCCCTCAATATCATGGTTATAGTACTTTCATTTTCATTCTATTTGAGAGAAGACAAATAAGATTTGTCTTAGTTCATTTTGTGTTGCTATAACAAAATACCCAAGACTGGGTACTTTATAAAGAAAAGAAGTTTATTTAGCTCACAGTTCTTCTGGTTGGGAAGTTGAAGCAGCATGGTGGCTATATTTGCTCAGCTTCTGGTGATGGCTTTTGTGATGGTCACAACATAGTGGAAAGTCAAATCAGACATGTACGAAGAGGAACCAAACAGGAAGAGGAACCTCCCTTTCCAATAACCCACTCTTCTGGGCCCTAATCTATACCCTGAAAAACTAATCCATTATCATAAGAATGAGAATGAGAACTAATCCAGTCTCTGAAGAGTGAGAACTCACTACTTTGAGAACAAAAGTCACCAAACCATTCAGGAGGGATCCATTCACCTGACCCAAACACCTCCCACTGGGCCCCACATCCCCACACTGCCAAACTGGGGATCAAGTTTCAAATTGAGTTTTGATGGGGACAAACCATATCCAAAGGATTATGCAAGATTAATATTTTACTCGTCATTGTTTTCATTTTCTCTGTACCCACAATTCTTAACCAAGAATGCACATTAAAATAACTGTGAAGTTTACAAAAAATTACTCATTTCCTGTTCCCAAACCCAAAAGGATTCTAATTCAGTAGGTTGAGAAATTTGGCTTTAAAAAGGACACAAGTGATTGAAAGCATAATTGTAGTTAAGAAACACTATGACTTGATCTTGAACTTTCTGGGATCACATACTCATTTGAGGATTTGATGAAAAAAATAACTTCTGCATAAAAAAATGCACATAAGCATAAACACATGGAAATGCAAATATACTTTCATGAAATAACACCCTAAGACCACCGCATTTCCTCCCTCATTATGTCTCTAACACCTAATATTGAGTACACTTTCTCCAGCTTTCTTTTATTTCACTCCAGAACACTGAAATAGCCCTCCTGTCACACTCCTCAGCCTCTTTCTATTTAAAGGTGGATAATTCTTGGCTACCTCACATCTAGGTGCAAAATTAGGCCAGAGTTTATAGAATAGTGGAAAATAATATAAAGATAAGGAGCCTCAAATTTTAGAGTATAGAGAAGAATATTCCAAATTACTATGTATTGATTAAATACTACATTGCATGAGAAAGGGGAGGTAGGGCCTCACCGGGAGAGGAGATAAAATGAGGAAAAGATGAATAAAATTTATACTCCATAATATAAATATAATGGTACCTTGGCTTAATACTGAGGTAGAATTTTAGTTAGATGCTGAAAAAAATGTGTGAATAAATCAATAAATGCATGACCAGCTGAAGAACTGACTGCATGAAAAAAGCAGAAGGAAGAAAACCCCTATTAATTTTGTTTTAACTTCTTTGACATATTTTTCCTCATCTGCCAAGTGAAGGTATAGGAAGGGGTTTAAATTCTCTTCAAATTAAAAAATAGGATTCCTGCATTCTTTGCATTATTACTCTGTGAATAGAAAGATGGAAACCTATTTCCTAGAGCAAATACCTAAATTGTAGATTATACCAAAAGGAAGTGGAACCAGCACCTCAAGGAGATATGTGCACTCATAAGGTCATTGCAGCATTATTTACAAAAGCTGAGATATGAAAACAACCTAAGTCACCATCAGCAGATGAATGGATAACGAAATTTTGATATATATTCACAATGGAATATCAGTCAGTCTTATAAAAAAGAAAAAAAAGGAGGTACCACCATTTCCAACAGCATGGATAAACTTGGAGGATATTATGTTAAGTAATATAAGCCAGACACAGAAAGACAAATACTGCATGACTTCACTTATATGTGGAATCTTTCTTAAAACAAATCTTTCTTAAAAAAAAATCTTTCTTAAAATATAAGTCAAAATACATAGAAATAGAAAGTAGAGCTAAAGGTTATCTAGGTCTGGGAGGGGAGGAAATGGGGAGAAGGTCGAAAAGTATAGATTTACAGTTATGTATGATGAATAAGCCTAGAGATCTAATGTAAAGCATAAGGACTACAGTTAATAATATTATATCTTAAACTGATAATTTGCTAAAAGAGTAGATTTTAGCTGCACTTACCACACAAAAAAAGAAACTATGGAAGAAGGTGGCTTAGTTAATTTGCTTAACTGTAGGAATAATAATGTATATATCAAAACAGCATGTTATACACCATAAATATATACAATTGTTTTAAAAGATTACTCATGGCGAGAGAGAGAGAGAGAGAGAGAGAGGGAGGGAATAATGCCGTTTGGCAATGCATTATTGTGTTACATTAAAGGCTGGCAGGTAAACTATTTGTTAGAAACCTTTCAATATTGGGTTAGCTTATAAGAGAAAATCTTGCTTCAACACAAGAATAATCAAATGGTTTTTGTCCTTTGTTCTATTGAGATGATGTAACACATTGATTGACTTGCATGTGTTGAACCATCCTTGCATCCCTGGGATGAATCCACACAAATCTTGCATGTTCTCACTTATACCTGGGAGCTAAATATTAAAAAAGCAGTTGTTCTCATAGAGAAAGAAAGTAGAATGATGGTTACCAGAGGCTGGAAAGGGTAGCAGGGAGTGGGGATAATGTGGGGATGGTCAATGGTGCAAAAATATAGTTATATAGAATAAAAATATTTGAAAATGCAACAGTGCTACTATAATCAACAATAAATTTGGGTATACTTTAAAATAACTAAAAGAGTAGAATTGGAATGGTCCTAACACAAAGAAATGATAAATACCTGAGGTGATGAATACCCCGGTTACCCTGATTTGATTAATTCACATTGTATACCTGTATCAAAAAACAAAAGGAACCCAAAAAAAAAAAAAAACAATAAGGAACCAAAAAAAATAAAAAAAAAAAAAAGAAAAATAAAAAAACAAAAAAAAAAAAAAACTAAAATAACTCAAACTCCGAAAAAAAAAAACAAAACCAAGAAGCCTCAAAAGAAAAAACAACCAAAAAAAAATAATCAATAAAATAAGATGCAGAAAATATAGAATGCTGTCATTTATGTATTATATTGTATATTTATACAGCATTTCCAGAAGGATACATAACAAACTAGTAATGGTGGTTGCCTTCAAGGATTGCAATGGGTGACTAAGAGAAATGTTGAGTGGGAAACTTACTTTCACTGAATTGTCATAATTTTTGAGTTTTGTATAATGTGCATGTATTATCTATTTTTAACATGTTTAACGTTGTACAAAACACAATATCCATGAATATGTAAAATAATTAAAAACTCCAATCACTAGAATTAATATTTAAATGCTATGATTCAGTCTGTTAGCATTTATCTATATCACAGTAAGAATATTTGGCCAAAATAAATCAATGGATATGGTGTATTTTTCTGTTGTTTCCATCATTATTTTAAAAATATAACTGATTTGGTGGTAGGATAATTATAAATAAAAGACTTTAAACTAGGTATCACCCAGTGGAGTTTCTCTGCTTTATATAATTTCACATATGCAACAGTTCCATTTTTTTAAAAATTACATTTTTTTGCACCTCAAAGACATTACTGACCCAGCAAGCAGTCAACATTACACATGGTTTCTTGGGAGACTAGAAGTATTTTTTCCAGAATCTTGAGACTACATTAGAACACCATTTAACCATCATACTCTGTTTCCCTTGTCTCTAAAGTGGTGGTAGCTCTATTAATCATTCTCTTAATCCCACATGGAATGTGATGATTAACTATTATGAAATGACTGAAATGCAAGATAATCCAGTTCAGGAGATACAAGGAAAATCAATGTGAGAAACAAACATCATTTTTAAATTTTGTTTATTTGTAGATTAAAATGTAATGCCATACAATTTTAACAATCACTTAAAAAAGGATTTATATTTGCATAAAACAGAAGCAAAACCGAAGTATATGAAATAAAATGCCATCTTGCTTCAAGTTTTCAAATCAGTACTTAAAGTACTAATATACATCTATATACATTGTAAGTATATGATATAAATATACTATGAGTAATCTTGAAGCCACAATAAATATCAAGTAGATTTTTAGGCACACGGCATAAGAAGAATGCAGAATCCGCATAATTCTTGAGAGTGCTGAGTGACTCACTCATAGATCATTTTCACACATATATGTTACACAAAATATACAGCCATCACTCACATGATTCTCAGTCACCTGTGAATTTTACCTTTCATCCCAGCATTAGTGCCTTCTTATACTTTGATACTATTGCTCTATACAACTATTACATAGGAAAATATTTTGCAGCTTTTTTCAGCTAATTGCCTAAGAAGGTATCAATGCTACCAAAATAATTACAGCCTATCTACACAATATATTCATGAAAATGTGCTGAGAGGCACCAAATTACAGATCTGCTCATTGTAATATTGGAAGTTACCCTGAAGGCAAACTTATAAATTTTAAGGTATGCCATTTTTGAATTGCCAATACTATTAAATCCAGAAATTATTAGAAACTGAGGTAATACCTGTTTTAGAAATAGAAATGCTTGAAAAATACACCAAAAGTACTTTTAAAAATCCTGACATACACGGACCTCAGTTATTGTAAGCTTTGTCTGTACTCCTTTCTGCACAAATGTAAACCCAAGAATCCAAAGGAATGCTCTAGTTGAATTGACATATACTGTTAGTATTAAAGATCACAGCCATGGAACACCTGAGATCGCCCTCTGATAAGCGAAGCCTAATGCTTCTCTTAATAGAGCCAATGTTCATTGATGAAAATGAACCAAACAAAACACGCTGGTTTTCCCCCAGCTACAAATCAGATTCTGGCATATCTGGCATATCTGCCATCAAGTACCCTATTCCATACCGTCCATTGGGAGCAGTATCCAGAGTTGGGGATCCACTCTGTTTTCGATAAATATTTTTACCAAAATTTGGAGATGACATCTCACTCGGTATCTTTCCGTGAATGAGACTTGCATCATCTCCCTCTAAGTTTACAGGCTCTTTCAGGACCCTTCCTCTCTTATAGGTCACAGATGCTAAATTACCAGAGCTGTCATCTATGAGGTTGCAGCGACGAACAATGAAGACTACTGGGACAGGGAGTATTGCAAGGACCATCAGAGCGATACAGACAACCATTCCCCACGTTGGATAGCTCAGAAATTCTTCAGATGCCTGTTAAAGGCAAAAAAAATAATAATAATTATCAATAATCTGCCTTTCTCTGCACACAAATCAAAAAATAGTATATTTGTCTCAGGTTTGTAAGCCAAGAGACTGGGCTGGCTTTGTGACTTGCTCTGACCAATAGAAAGCAGTGGAAATGACATTCACCAACTTCCAAGACTAAGCTTCAAAGGCCTTGCAATTTCTTAGAATGCTGCCTTCGGTCCATGATGCTTGGAAGAAGCCAAGAATGAATGACGACCTAGAGACAGCGAGCTCAGGTCTCCAAGCTGAATTCAACTGCTTGAGTTAGCCCAGGCAGGACCAAAAGAAGAACTGCTCAGCTCACCCAGAGAGAACTCTTAAGAAATAATAAATCAGTGTTGCTTTTAGTCATTAAGTTTCGGGGTAATCTGTTACTAAGCAATAGATAAACTGTTAACTTGTGCCATATCGTTCTAAACTCTGAAAATCTTAATTTTGAAGCACATCCAGACCCAAGAGATTTGGTAAGAGATATCAGACTAGTTTATGCCTCAGTTGTGTCTTTTATTATATAGAATAATTGATCACAGGGTGAAGGTCAAAGGTATCTCTAAAATCACAATAGGTATTGTGATTTTATAACAACTAATATATATCTCATGATTATATTATGTGGCTAATGCAGTTCATGGACAGACATAAAAATAGTCATAGCTAATATAAAACAGTTAAAATACAACTTTACTTAAATATTTGCTTATTTAAAATTATGTTTACATGGTGAATACATATTTTTATTGTTATATAGTATCTGGGATACAATGTAATAAATTACATATTATCAATATCTCTGGAGTTTAGATTAATATTTTCTAGAGTCAAAGACCCAGTAATTTATTGGTTCATCAATGTTAAAATGAATAAATCTGCTTTAATAAGGACAAGGTCAGTATTTCCCATGTGTTAAGGACATTCATAATGTATTAAAAAAATAATAGATGATTGGGGTACAAAACATCTCAAGATCCTTCCAGAAAAGCAACACCATTCATTAAACAGCAAAAAATACTGTGAAGAAAACAAAAGACAAATCCCTCTAAAATGGCTTTTTGTATATCCTTTTAAATCTAACTTCTTTATTTTGTATTTTACCTTATCTTCAATCCATGCATTATAGCCAGGAGGACTTATTCCCATATTCACCACACTCGCTATTAGCAATGATAATAGCATTAAAGGAGAAATGTATTTCCATATATAGTAGTAATATCTGCTGGGAGCAAAACCTAACATATCTCTTAGGTCTTCCATAAACCTAAAAGTAAAGAAAGTAATTATTCCTCAAGTTAACATTTTATACCTTAAAAATGTGGATTATATCAACAGCTTGACAGAAACTGAGCCATGAATATATTTTACACTGAATCAAAAATTCACATTAAAGATGACATAAACTAAGAAAATTTATAAAGTAAAATGAAACCAGTTAGGAACTATAATTTTTATTTAGTGAAAACCCTCTTAAGCCAATATTAAAATGTCTCCTCCTACTGATAATTTTATATTCTATGAACACATATTTGCAATACATTAAAAATTCCTTGTCTCATTTTTCATCATAGTAAGAGTTTTTTAGTATCATCAAATGTCCATAATCAGTGTCTGTATTTTCTGAACTCACATTTCTTTTTACAGTATGGTGGTTTCAACTGAAAAAAGGTCTACATATAGTGACTAATTGATATGTCTCTCAAATCTATTTTTAATCTCTAGGTTCCTCCTCCATCTCTTTTTATGCTTCTTCAGAACCTTAAGGGAGGGAAAACTAATTAAATGAGAGCATCTTCTATGTGAAAATTCTTACCTGCTTCTCAGATAAAATATGAGCTTTGGAGACCAGAAAACTTAATTTCAAATCATAGTTCTACTATCTTTTAATGCATATTTTAGTCTTTCTGAGGTTCATTTTTGGCATTTTCAAAAAAGTTACTATAATACCTACCTTGAAGGGTTATTTTTAGAATCATAAACAATGAATGCAGAGCATACTACCTCACATGCAGTAGGAATTCAATAGATGAATTAGTGATATTTTTCCTACTGTTGTTATAACTATTATTTAGGAATGCTAACTACTAAAAATAAATATTCTCTAGTATGCCTATCAAAAATTATGCACTGTCTAAATGAAAATTTAAATTATGAATGTATTGATTCACAGATCAGTCCAATAACAATATCAAATTCCATCATGGTGCAGGTTAGGAGCTATGAGTATAGCTTGGTAGCCTTTAGAGAAACATAGCTTTGAAATCAAGGTCCAGATTATAGTTGGTCTGCAACTAAAAAATGTGTTCTCCTGTACAAGAAAGGCCAATTTCCCATCTGTAATATATGACATTACTTACCACAGAGGTTTGTTTTTTTTTAATATAGACTTTAATTTTTCAAGAGCAGTTTTAGGTTCACAGCAAAATTGAGCTGAAGGTATAGTGATTTCCTATACAGCTCTGCCCACCATACATGCACAGCCTCCTCCATTAGCAACAGCTTCCACCAGAGTGATGCAATTGTTACAACTGATTAACCTACATTAACGCAGCATTATCACTCAGTCCACAGTTTACATTAGAGTTCACTCTTGGTATTGTACATTCTGTGGGTTTGGACAAAGGTATCATGATATCTACCCACCATTATAATACCATACAATGTAGTCCCACTGTCTTAAAAATCCTCTTGTGCTCCACCCATTCATTCCTCTCCCCAACCCCCGGTAATCATTGATCTTCCTACTTTCTCCATAGTTTTGCTGTTTCTATAATGTTATATAGTTGGAATCATATAGTATGTAGCCTTTTTAGATTGGCTTCTTTCACTTAGTAAAATGTATTTACATTTCCTCTTATGTCCTTTCATGGCTTGATAGATCATTTGTTTTTAGCATTGAATAATATTTCATTCTTTGGATGTATCACAGTTTAAGTATCCATTAACCTACTGAAGGACATCTTGGTTGCTTTCAAGTTTTGGCAATTATGAATAAAGTTACTATAAATATCCATGAGCAGGGTTTTTTTTTTGGTGTGTGTGGACATAAACGTTCAACTCCTTTGGGTAAATACCAAGAAGCATGGTTGCTTGATTATATGGGAGGAGTATGTTTCTTTTTATTATAAGCTGCCAAACTATCTTCTAAAGTGGCTATACCATTTTGCATTCCCACCAGTAATAAAGGAGAGTTCCATTCTGCACCCTTGCCAACATTTTGTGTTGTCAGTGCTCTGGATGTCCGCCAAGCTAATAAGTGCATAGTGGTATCTCATTGTTTTAATTTGCATTTCCCTGATGACATATAATGTGGAGCATACTTTCATGTGCTCATTTGCCATCCGCAGAGTGTTTTTATAAGGCTTAAAAGTTAATGCATGTCAGACAGCTATTACTATTACTGCTATATAGTACATGAATATTAAATTTAAATTCCCCTACCCTTCCTGGCCTGGAGCTTTTGAAAGTCATTAAAGAAAACAATTCTCTGAGCTTTGTTATAAAGCTCATTCAATACCAATAATGTTCTCTATATTACTTAAGAGGACCCTAGTCTCACTCTATGTGTACTCATTCCTACTTTACACAAAGCTAGTGCAAGCCTGTTGATCTTATTGCCTTTCAGTCTGCATATATGAATTAGAAACAATGACCATTGGACAAAGCCTCCAAATGTCTTCCCACCCCCAATATTACTATGATGCTTCATTTAATATCAAATACATATAATTTTCACACAATCAGGTACATAATTCAGAAGTTAGGGTATATAGTAAATTTAAATAATGACTCCATATAAATATTAATAAGAAGTTTGTATACAGTAAATTTTATATATATATATATATACACACACACACACACACATCTCAGGATGGAATATGTCATTTCCATTTCCTAAATTTTCCTGCTACATAAGGAATTATACACATTTCTCTCATAAAACAATTTGGCAAAATAATTAGGAGATAGGTTTTAAAGTTAAACAGAAATGGGGCTATGAATTCCAGGTTTGCTGATGTCCAGGTACGTGATGAGCAAGTCAGTCTGCGTCTCTCTAAACCTGATTCTCCCCATCTGTTAAAGGTAGATAATGACTCATAAGAACCTAAGGTTCTTGGAATATAGCTAATACTCATTAGATCTTGGAAGTTACTATTTCATAACCAGAATTAAACCAAAGCTGCAGAATTCTTAGCCATTATAATCTACACAATTCTAATTACTCACTCAACAGAAGAATATACTTTACTAAAATTGTTAAATGAACAAGAGCCTGCAAAGGATTTGATTTTATAAAGAATTTTTCCTTCTATTCATTTTCCTCTTCTTCTAAATGAAATAGATATCAATAATTGGTCTTTTCAAAATAGAGATGAAAAATGAATGCATAAAAGCAAATATACTTACTTATCTATGCCATAAACAAAGCATACAGCAATATTTTCCAAAATGACTACAATTAGCAGAGGCAATGTAGCAGAATAATCGTCAAACATTGTAACAAAGTAATTTCCAGAACGCTGCACAAATATCAGGCCAATACTAAATGCCAGAAGACAACAAATAACTGGAATAAAAGAATAAATTTAAAAATTAGCCCTTATTCAAAGTCATGTCTTTAAACCTTTATTATTATAAATTATTATATTCAAACATGTTATAACATGTCAGTTATATAAATAGGCAATACTTTTTCTGGTACTATGGAATATAACATATTTGAGGTTAAGTTACCTGGGGTTAGACCATCTTTAATATAAATTTATTGTAAGACAGTAACTCATCTCCCTGAGTTTATTTGCCAAGCGCAAATGAAGCAAAATTGAGAGAAAATTTTAAAAATGTAAATGTCCATACCCTGCTTCTCTTTTTAATAGCAAACATACTTTTTCAGGCAGTAAATATTCATAGGTCATTTCTACTTCAATAACATTCTATAGAAGTTGGAATCCATATAGGATATTTAAATTAATGAGACTAATGTGGTTTATAAGATTGTGAAACATAAATTTTTATATTTTATGGAATATGGTTATTTTAAAGTGTAACTGAAAAAATCTGATCAGACCTAGCTATGCCACCATTCAACATTTATATACTAATATTTATCTTGCCTGAACAGATCAGTTTGGAAAGTTATTATGACAGAGTTGAGCAATCTGATTATCCAAGCAATATCTAAGAAGAGTCATCTAAAAGGAGTTTCCCAAGTAATATTTAAGAAACAGTTGTGTATATTTCTGACTGGCTATCATTAACATAAAAACTTAGAGAGATTTTTGGAATCCATATAATATTCCCATATTTTTGGTAGACTCTCTAGTCTCTCATCTTATTAGCAAAGAAGTTCTCAAAAGTAAAAGATGACTGCATTCTATTTTTCAACCACATTTTAACTGAATGAGTAAAACTGAAAGAAGAAGAGTATGTGGTGGCAGGTCAGGAGAGAAGACAGACATCCATGAATTCAATCATACAAGGGTTCCCCAACAATTCAGTTAAGTATTGGTTACATTAAGCCATTACCTCTGTCTCTTAAGTACCATGCTAGTGCTATGAGTTACATCATACAGAAATGAATATCACATCTAAACACAGAATGTAGAAAAAGAAAAGTAACATTTACTTGGAGTCTACTGTTTATTAGATTTAAATGCTTATCACAGTATAAATAAATATTATCTCACTTGATTTTATAACATCACAACTGAACAATGTATTGCTATCTTCATTCTACAGATGACAGAAAAGACCCCGAGGAATATAAGTCTCAGGTTGTAAGTAACAGAGCTTGGATTTGCACCTAAGTCTGACTCTATAATAGTCTATGTAACTTTCACTGTCTCCTAATTACTTTGTAGTATAAGGTAAAAATGAGGAAAATATATCCTAGGTGGCACAGACAGTAAGAGTTTTGTTGGAGATGCGAGAGAAAAAGATAATTAGTAATTCACTGATCTTACTGTTCTATAGAAGAAAAACACACCTAACAAAGATGATGAGGCAACATTTCATTGAAGTCAAATATGACTATGACTTGAAGTATAGGTATGATTCCGTAAGACAGGAAATGAGGCAAGACAGTACATTCCCCTTTGCTCTTTCCAAATAAGTCTTCCAATAGAGGTCAGCAAATACTACCTGTACACTGTTACTTTTCATTTAATTTTGCAAGCCTTTCTGGGGAAGGAAGCAGGAGGGAGAAGCCGGTGAGGTGGAGAATAGCGCCTACCTGGCCTCTGTCCCAAGTGCCCGCTGCCCAGTGCTGGGGGCACCTTGTGAACCAGCAAACCAGGCCGTGCCACACACAGGACCCCGCTTGGACTCCCCGGTGAACGGGAGTGAAATCAAATGACTCCCCTGCTGGCCTGGCCTCTGCCGTTTCACTTATCGCTGCTCCCCTGAGCTCCATACACAACGGCTTGTCCACCCCAGGGCCTTTGCACTGGCCACTCTCTCCCCTTGAGATCCTCCTGCCTGCAATGTTTACATCACTGCTTCCTTCTCTCCCCCAAATGTCAGCTAAGTCAGCCCTCTTCTGCAGAGTCCTTTCCCAGTGGCCCTGTTTAAAGCGACCTTCCCCAAACACACACATCAGTCACTACAACAAAATCTGGATTTTGTCAAAGCATGCTCAAGTTGCTGTTTGCTTGTTCACTGAGCTTTTCTACCTGGTTTGTGTGTGTGCTTATGGCACATAGAAGAGTGCCTGGCACACAGCAGGTGCACAATAAAAATCCATCTATTAAATTCTTTTTTTTATTTTTGGTATAGAGTCTCACTCCATTTCCAGGGGTTAGAGTGTCATGATATCACCCTAGCTCACAGCAACCTCAAACTCCTGGTCTGAAGCGATCTTTCTGCCTCAGCCTCCCAAGTAGCTGAGACTACAGGCATAAACCATGACATGTGGCTAATTTTTCTATTTTTAGTAGAGACAGGGTCTTGCTCTTGCTCAGGCTGCTCTCGAACTCCTGACCTCAAACGATCCTCCTGTCTAAGCCTCCGAGAGTGCTGGGATTACAGGCATGAGCCACAGCGGCCAGCCAGTCTGATAAATTCTTGAGTCTCTTTCCCAGAGTAACAGGAGACAAAAACTCACTAAGTCCAGCTCCAACGACCTCACTGTCCATGACAACTGACATTTCCTTCTCACCCCAGGGCCTGAACACTTGTGCGGTTCTGCTCCCTGGAACTGTTGGCCTTGTCACACCATTCTCCTCCTCCAGGTCTCCTTTCCAATATCACCTTCAGATTCTCTATCCCGATTGCTGGAAACAACATACGCAACTGTCGCCCTGCACTGTCTATGCTATTTGGTTGTAATTGAACAAAAACTGTGTTGTACTTAAGTTTTGCTCAATCACACCTATTTCCTCCTGTAGACACTGAATGCCATGGACTAGACAGACACCTTTCCATAGGACACCCAGAAGCTTATTCTCCAATAATGATGCTATAACTTCTCTCCCACAAGGGTGTTTGGGAAGAATAAATGAGAGATATGAGGGAGTCCTAGGCGCTGGGGCTGGCTCATAGCTGGTGGCCAGTAACTGTTGATTAACATGTCCCAGCGTTAGTGCTTTTTACATGAATCTAAACCCTTCCTCGTGTCCTTTCTAAACTCCGATTACATATAAAATGAAGCCTTAAGGGTATTGTCAGAGCATTCAAGCTCCCTTTGGGTATGGCCCCATATTCATGCATTAATTTTAGCCAGTAGGTATTCACTCCACCAGGCACTGTAGCAGGAACTGAGCTGGGATTCAGGAGCAAATAGGAAAGTCAGACCTGTTCTGTGACCTCGGATGCCTTGAGGGATGAAAGGGAACCCCTTCCTCAGAAAGGGATAGGGAAGGCTTTTTGAAATGGCATTCTAGCCCCCGGCGCCACGCATAGCTCACAGGAGAGGCTCTGTCAATATTTATTGCATACATAAACCTTTCTCAGGAGGGACGGGGAGAGGTTGGTTAATGGATAAAAAATTACAGCTTGATAGGAGCAAAAGGTTCTGGTGTTCTGTAACATTGGAGAATAACTGTAATGAACAACAATTTATTGTATAGTTTCAAATAGCTAGGAGAGAGGATTTTGAATGATCTCAACATGAAGCAATGATGAATGTTTCAGGTATTGGATATTGCAATGATCCTAATTTAATCAGTACACATCATATACTTGTATCAAAATATCACTCTGTACCCCATAAATATGTACAATTGTTACACATCGATATTAAAAATAACAACTAGAATGTAAATGTAAATGTGATAATTTTTGACACACTGGGTTGAATAAACTACATTATTAAAGTTAATTTAAAAGTTTTAAAAAATGAAAAAAAATTTTGCAAGCCCTTTGCTACAAGAGGAGATGGTTTGGACATGGGAGGCAAATATAAGAATGCTAAGATGATTTTAGCCTGCATGTCAGGCAGGATATTGATAACAATATGAAGAAATAGAAGTTGGTTTCTGGAATAAGATAAAGAAGCTTCTCATTTTTGTTTGGCTAAGTGGAGGATATACAGGGGCTCTCCAGAAAGTATCCAGCCATTGTTAATATAACAAGAATGATTATGTGGCTGGATACTTTCCAGACAGCCCTCATATAGCTATGAATATTTAACAAACTGCTGAAGTTAAAACTTGTTTTACATACATACACACACACACACACACAAACACACACAAACAGACACCCTTAGCAGAGCATCTATTTACACATAAAGTATTACTAAATCTTTCACAATAATAAAAGAGCCTTGGGGAGCTTGCACACCACTGCCCAGTGATCAAGATCACCAATGTATTTTTCATCCAATCTTATTTTACATCACTCAACAGTATTGTTCCTGTACTCTGGTCTGGCTAGCTTCCTTACTGTTTCCCTTATCTCTATTTACATATATTTGCTAAAGTTGTCTTCTGACCCCTGAAAAAATCCTACCTCTTTCCAATTCAATCTCCATCTCGTTCTCTGATGGCTGCATCATATACTTAGATTACTTAGCCTTTTCTGAAGTCTTATAACATGCAAAATCTCTATTATGCTGTCTATCAGTATTTTACATGATATAAATCATAAGCTAAATCTTAATTTTAGCACTATTATTTTTATATATGTTATTATTAATATATATTAATATATCATGATTATAATTTTGTTTGTATCTTTTATATCTTATAAATTCAAGGATGATGCAGTACAAAACTGGTACTTTAATAATTACTTGTAGATTGGACATATTAACAATCATCCACATTGATAAATTGTTTTCTTTTCTACATAGAGACATTAATTACGAGTAAATCACAATTGCTATTGTATATGAAAAATGGATTTAGGCGCATCATTTTCAACTGTTTGGATAAGAGTATTGCATCTGAACTGCTCTATTTATAATTATTTGACTTGTATACAAAATCATACATGAACATTTTTATAACTATTCTAGTGTCAGTAATTACTATTACTAAATTGTAAAAGAATAAATGATCATTAGTGGATAATTAAATGTAATTTAATTAAACATATCCACGGGATATAAATAGGTATATAAATAAAATAATAATAAATAATAATAATAGACCTTAATAAAACCCAAAGCAGAACACATTCACGTTTCTGTCTCTAATCTTTCACCAAGAATAAAATGGGCCATATCAGTTATCAGAAAAGTCGAATACGTAAAAACTCACCAGTAAGAATTTCTTTCCTCACTTTGAAAGTGTCCACAACAGGCGTGATGATCCCTTCAATGGTTCCAAACATGCTGCCAAGGCCTAGATTTACCAGCATGAGGAAAAACATCACTGACCAGAAGGGAGATGCAGGGAAATGTGTCATCGCTTCTGTAAAGGCAATAAAAGCTAAACCAGTCCCCTGAACAGCCTGAAAAATACACAACATAGCAACATGAATACAGAGCAATATTAAGTAATAGCTCTATATATCACTTACATAGGGGGAAAAAACAAATCTGTGAAGAAATGGCCAGGAGCTACAGGAAATAAGCATGCTGACATCAGCCTTTAACCTGATAGATTGATCATGTTTATTCTCAGAAGCCAGATTCAATTAGATAAAGTAGATCCAAATAATAAAACTCTGTTTAGAATTATTAAATACAGAACACAATTATATTGTATTGTGTACTAGATATCTCACAAAGATCCTAGAAGGATATATTAAATAATACATAATATTTTTGATTCTGTTAAAGCTTATGAATGTGGATAATAATTTATTATCACAGATACATAAATATATATATATATATACACACACAACTATTTCTGGTTCATATATAAAGATAAAAAATATTTAATGTTGCCTCAAAGTAGCTAAATCAATTGGTATAAAGAAAATATAGACTGTGAATAACACACTTGTTTTATTTAAAATAAAAATGCTAATGACAAATAAAAGCATGTGAATAGAATGGATTATGAAAAGTCAATTTTTAATCTAAAAAAATACATCTGCATCCCTTTTACTTCTGATATTTCTACCCTCCTGCTAAAAAACTTTGGGCTGATATGCCGATTTTCATAATTCAAGAGACACAGTCAAAATTGATAATAAAATGGATAAAAAGACAAATATTCCAATTGGCAGAATGGAAGGGGATTACTAGCAAATATTAGCATGAGTTTATTTTTTTTATGAGTATCCCAAATATTGCGTTCTAACATAGCAACTTGCTTTTCCTAAGAAACTGTACCTCTAACCAAACTTCAAGTTGATTATGTTACAAAGATAACAGATAGACCAGAATATTTAAAAAAAAAAACTTTGAAAGGTTAAGTTAGTGATTAATAAAATATTTTTATAGAATTCAAGGTTTTTATATTAATGATGACAGTACCCATAATTTCCTGTACATGATTCTTTATGCTTATTCTCAAGTATAGTTGGCCATCTTAAAGCTAATGCTAAATGCCCAATTTCTCCATTATATTTTCCTTTTTGACAATACAGGAGGCAGTGGTAGCTAATGCAAGAATATTTATTAATGTTCACCTATTTCTTGTTTAATAAAATATATAACAGTGGCTAAAAAAAGGACCAGATCATGACTTTTTGAACATGACTATTAAAATGGCCATTTCAAATTCTAGTCAGTCATCAAAGCAATTATGCGATGCATATTAATGAGTCATAATTCAAATTCTGTATTAAACAGTATACCAAGAAAAGTATCAGACTAATCATCATTCTAAATCACTTTATCTATATTCATATTTTAAATTATTGTGGCTCAATCAATGAAATTACTTTTTAAAGTAAATCAAATTGTTGTGATTTAAGAAAACACATTCTCTAAAATGAAGCATGTGAATTTTGAAATAGCATAATGTTCCTCATTTTAAAGGTCATTTTCCTAAAAGAAATCTGCTGGATAATGCATATTTTAACTAAATGACAATTATTTTATTGCTCAAACATTGTTTACTAACTTTATTTAGCTCATCTCCAATTTGACAGGAATTGAGATGAAGAACAGGAAACTCTTCTTCTTTCACTTTTTGGATTATGTCATAAACTAAATGATAATCTTCTTCAGTAACAGCTGAAAGGTTGATATGATGGGGAATAATGTCCTGACTAATGTTTCCCATTTTTAAAAATTTTATGATCATTTCTGAGTTTCTGAAAAACAGAACGACATATGAATGAGCACTTAAGAGTTCTTTGGCGTATATTTTCTACACAATTATGCCATCAAAAGCTAATGAATGTGGAAAGTTCCCAACACAGAGAAATGGTAAACGTTTGAGGTGACAGATATCCCACTTACACAGATTTGATCAGTGCATATTGTATGCTCGTATTAAGCTATCACATATACCTCATAAATATGTACAACTATTACGTATCCATAAAAAGTTTTAAAAATTAAAAATGTTTCTAAAAATTAAAATAAGGGGGAAAAGCTAATGGAAATTAATATCCATACTGTGCAATGCATTTCTCATTTATGACATTTGCTTTGAATCCCAGAACTGCAAACACCACCAATGTTGCCAGGACAGAAGTGAAAAAATTGATGAAGGACACCAAGACAGCATCAAAGTGGCAGTTGTTGTCTCTTTTGTTGTAGCTTGAAAAGGCAATGACGCCACCAAATCCCAGACCTAAGGCAAAGAACACCTGAGTAGCAGCTTCTCTCCAAACCTTGGCCTCCAGCATTATTTCAAGCTGTTTAAAAATAAACACAATTGAAATCAGTTAAAAAATAATATTTCAGAATAATTCATTTACATAGAATTAATCCTATTGTTTAAATATATTACAATGATATTTATGTACCCAAAGGTTATTTAAATCTGAAGGATAATCCTTCTTAAACAGAAATAAACATTTATTTCAGAAATAAACCATATGAATAATAAAGACTATCAGGATTTTACATGGAGATTTTACTTACATGGAGATTTTCTACTTATATAGAAATTTTTAAACATTTTAAGACAACTCATCAAAGGACTATATGAAAGAGAAATTAATTATCTTCAACTAATTCCCATTGTATCTTTTTTTCCAAAGCAAAATAAATCTATTACCAATAAAAGTTAAATAATTACTTCACAAATGCTCGTAAGTTTTGTGCTTTCTGGTGTCAATCCAATGAATGAAAGAGATAACAATTATGAACTTGGTAGAGTTGACCTATTTGTACTTTGCATATTAACATATGTATTATTCATTTATTCAAAACTTCACTGAAAGGCTTTTCTTTGACAATAGAAGAAATGTAGCTCTATAATATATAAGATGACCTTTCAGATCCAAAGTGTTAATGTACTGAATCTGTGGTGAACGCATATTTCAAGTAACTGTGCTTTACTTTTTAGATAATTATCACTGTATATAATCAAAACTGTTAACTGAAACAATTAACATTAATCACACCTGACACTGACCTCAATAAATAGTTAAGTTCAATTTCAGTAATAATAGTGTTTAAATTATCATTTTATCTCTTTTCACCATTACAATCGCCTTTATTGGGAGCAATGTCAAACGTGGCTAAGAACACAAGTTCCACAGAGAATTTCAGATCTTGATTCTGCCAATTAATAATTTAAAAATAGTGCAACCTAAGGCAAATGATACATCCTCCCTGACTTTCAGCTTCCTCAAAGGAAAGATGGAAGTAACAAGGAGTGTATTACTTACCATAGTGCTTACCATACTTTAAATGCTCAGTAATTGATGACATATATGAACTATAGTGGCAGACACACTGATAAGCACTTTATATGGTTTATCTCACTCAATATTCACACCAACCCGTGAAGTTGTTGCTATTATTATCTGAGTCTTAGAAAGGTTAAGTAATCTGCCTAAGGCTAGACAGTAGTTCTAGGGTAGAAATGAAATATGAACACATGTAAACTCCAAAATCCATGTTCTCTCAAATATTTTTTTAGGAGGAATAAATTCTATTGTTCTATAACACTGTAGGATGACTATAGTTGATGATAATATATCGTTCCAAATAGCTACAAGGAAGGCATTGAATGTTCTCGTCACAAAGAAATGAAAAACGTTTGAGATGATAGATATGCTAATTACCCTAATCTGATCACTATACATTTTTTTGAGATTAGATATATAAGGTTTTTTTAACTTTTTTTTTCAGTATGGTGTTTTGGTTACATAGTTTGCTTTTGTACTGCTTGACTCGAAATTATAAGTGTGTCCATCACCCAGACAGTGTACATTGTACCCGTTAGGTATGATTTCACCACTTCCCTCCTCCTCCCTCCCACGTGCACGATTTCCATTGAATTTTACTTCCATCTATGCGTATGAGTACTGATCAGTTAGTTCCAATTTAATAGTAAGCACATGTGGTGTTTGTTTTTCCATTCCTGTAATACTTAGAAAGATGGTCTCCAGTTCCATTCACATTGTTGCAAAAGGTATTAATTCATTGTTTATGGCTGAATAATACTCCATGGTGTACCTATACGTTTTATTAATCCACTCATGAATTGATGGGCACTTGGTTTGATTACACATCTTTGCAATTGAGAATGTGCATTCTAGTGCAAGTGGTTTTAGTTTTTGTTTGTGATAAAATGACTTATTTTCCTTTGGGTATATACCCAGTAGTGGATTGCTGGATCAAATGGTAGGTATACTTTTAGTTCTCTGGGGAATCTCCATACTATTTTCCATAGAGGTTGCATTAGTTTGCAGTCCCACCAACAGTGTGTAAGTGCTCCTTTCTCTCCACATCCACATTGGCATCTATTGTTTTGGGACTTTTTAATAAAAGCCCTTCTCACTGGGCTTAGGTGATATCCCATTGTGGTTTTGATTTGCATTTCTCTGATAATTAACCGCTTTGGTACTGTGCTCACCGGCAGTGAAATCTTGCCCACAGCCGGCACTCATAGTCCGCACGATAGTTTGTGCTGTGCATTGACGATGAATCTGTTTTGCTCTTGTGTGATGAGGAAAGCTTTAAAGCACTGAAAGCTTTTTTTACTTTACAGGCAGCTTTACTTGTAATGTAAATCAGAATAGGTAGCATATAAATATATGTTTTCATTACATTAATTTTAAATGTTCACAATTTTATTTTGATAAACGAAAAATTAGAAAAGTCATATCACGGCTGTCAGCTAATGTTATCCATCTTAAATTAATTTTTGTGTTGGTGAGAGATATGGATCTTGTTTCAATCTCCTACATGTGGCTATCCAATTTTCCCAGCATCATTTATTGACTAGGATCAAATATTAGAATTTATTGCTTCAATTAATTTTAGTTATTATTAAGATCTATGAAATATTATTATCAAACATAATCATGATTATAATTTATGAACAATTAACCAAGATACGCATATTGTTTATTGACCATAACTACATTACCATTCTATGACTAATACTGATTACTAAAATACACTCAACCGTCTATCTCTACTTTACCCACTAGATGGCAGAAAAACACCTACTTATTAAAGACATTATTCAAGTTACATCTAATTTCTAAACTAAATCTCCTTTAGCTGTTTCAGGAGTATCTGGGGTGTTTAGGTACCTTCTCCTCTATATAAACAATGTAAATTAAAAAGTAATTTACAGTTACTTTTAATTCTTATATTAGCTGCTATGTCCTACAGTGATCTAACAAAGCATCTTATCAACCCTCAATGAAAAGTGGGCTAAAGAAAAAATAACATTTTTTTAATTATTTTATTTTATTTTATTTTATTTTATTTTATTTTATTTTATTTTATTTTATTTTATTTTATTTTATTTTATTTTATTTTATTTTTGTAGAAACAGCGTCTCACTTCGTTGTCTCAAACTCCTGGCCTCAAGGGATCCTCCAACCTCGACCTCCCAAATTGCTGGGATTATAAGACCATGTCTGGCTTAAAAAATAATATTTTAACAGTGATCCCTAGGTCAGGTAAAAATGTTAATTTATGCTGCAGTTTTAAATACTGGGGCCATGAAAATTATGTATCAAAGTATTTAAATTCTAAAATATCTACTTAAATTAAAATGTTTAGAATTGTGTCACAAGTCATTGCCAATTTGGAAAGAGAATATATTCCAGAAATTTACACCGCATTTCATTATCCTGAACTCTGAAAATATTTTTTTCAATATTATGCATAAATTTTGGTCATTCAGTATGGCTCATTTGAAGCAGATTTAAATTATAACATGGCTGAAATTTATAAATCTTAACTAGTTATTCACTAAGAAGTCCCAACAACTCTAAATGTTAAACAGGACTTTTGAACTAACCAAGAAAACCAGACACCAATGTCAGCATTTTTGCTACTACAGAATGAATACCAACTCAAAACCAGACACACAAAGAACACAGCTTCTTTTAGCAGCATCAAGGCAGCTGCCAGGAGTGACAAAGAATTCCAAAGAAGCTAATCCCTTCTGCCCAAATCTCACAGCACAATGCTGGCTGCACATTCACCCTTCAGATAACTCCCCATTTCTAATTTTGAAATTATATCTTTATACAGTTGTATCTTTATGTTTGCCTATGATAGTATCAGCAAACGGATAGTGAAGTACAACTTCATTTTAGTGAATAGCAAAAAATACATATACCTCAAAACTTATTTTTGTTTCCTGTTAAATCAATGTAACAAGTTATAATTAAGTCCACAGTTATGATTAACCAGTTTCAATGTACCCAGTGTTGGGTTCAGCTCTACTAACTTGAATGAGAGTGTAAGTTCTGAGCTCTCTATAAAGTCTACTAAGTATTTTCCTAAAATGTATATACATTTATAAAAGTTACAGAACTTCCCAAACTGACCACTGCACATATTATTCCATAAGGAATAAAACCTCAAAACAAGGCTAAAACAAGAAAATACTGATTTTCTGGGTCCATGGATTTTAGGTGGTCTGTAAACCTCTTGACACACTAAGCAAATTAATATGTTCATTATTTTTTCTGGTAAGAACATCTGATTGTCAATTTTTCAAAGGGGTTCATGACATCAAAAGGTTAAGAACCACAGAAACACAGGGAAAAAGTAAATGAAGATTTAAAAGTTCTAAAATTTAGTCAGTGTAAAAATTGGGGATTAATTTATTATGAAAGAGAAATTTTTGAAGTTGAAATGCTTATAGTCTTACTTTAAAGCCAGGATGGGATGTTTAAAAATGGAGATAGATGGATGTAATTTTATGTATTAATATATACTATGTATTTTACATATACATATATATATATATATATATAAGCTCTGGTTTTTCTAAGCTGGTTAACATAACTATTAAATATAACTTAAAAGTTCAATACACATATCTTAGAACAACTATCCCTTAAATATAACTGTAGAAACATTTCAACAATAAACATACTGCTTTCATGATCATAAGCCTTCAACAGAAATACGGTACATACCTTCGGGGTGAACATGTGGCGGATGCCATCAATTGAACCATTTAAAAGGAGTACTCTGATTAGGAAGCATATAAGTACCACGTATGGGAACAGAGAACTAAAATACATAATCTGCAAAGAAAGAAAAATAAAATAAGTGAGACACAATAACTATGTTCTTTTTCTTATAGTTAAGATTGTATGTGCTCTGTTCTATACATTGACAATCATTGTTTTTATAGTACGATTAATAATACTATTAATAACTTCTAAAGCTATCTTTTAAGAACGGCTTATTAGTCTTGATTCAGTCTTATTCATGATCCTATTAGAGGTATAATGAAAAGTAAGAAAAGTTTATTTATTCTCCATTGAAATAATCCATAGGTATGGTATAGCTTGAATAGTGTTGATTCCTTACAGTTCATAAAACAAGTATTATTTAAGACAAATAAACAGGCACTAACTTCCTAACACAGTCCTACTCTTATTGCTTTAAGTAGCAATAAAAAAAAGTAGTTCCTTTTTTCTTTTAACCAAAGTTATACTATGATTCTGTAAAACTTCCAAAATATAGTCTCTATACAAAGTTTCCTTCAGAACCTGAACAATTAAACGTGTGAAAGTTTTGCCTGCTGCTTCAGCAATTTTTTCCATTAAACAGTTCAGAAAACATTTATCAGAGAAAAGGAACTGTCCTATCCAGACATTCACTGCATCCTTGACATCTTCATATAGAGGCCCAGCAGGTCTCTAAAATGTTTCAGGTCCAGAGGAGAACTTCTGAATTTCCCCCAAAGCTGTTCACATTTATCTCCATTTCAAAAAATGGCCACGCCCTCCTTTCAGTTGGTAAAGTCAAACATCTAGAAGTCCTGGACTATTCATAATATTCTCCTAACTGGTTTTCTGGCTCCCACTCAGGTTATGTCATTCCTTGCTTAAAACACTTCAGGAATTTCTAATGCCATTGAACTAACATGCTAACTCTCCCGTCTGGCCTGCCTGCCCACCACTCTCCCTCTCCTGAGCTCTAGCCCCTCAGGCTCTTGCTATCCAGTGAGACTACCAGGCTCAGCCAGCCTCAGGGGCAAAGCAGGGCTGCAGCCTCCCTCAGAAACACCTCTCCCTCACCTGCACTTGACTTGCTCCACCTTGTTATTTCAGTCTTAGCTGTATCTTCCCTCTGAGGTCTTTCCTGACCACTCAAAAAATAAGGCTATGCCTTTTTCTGTCCTATCTGTCCTATCTGCCCATGAACCCTCGGTGATATTATTACCTTGTTTTGTTTTTTTGACAGCACTTAGCACTGCTGGAATTTTTTTTATGTGTATGTTTCCCCATTTATTTCATTGTCCTCTATTGGAATGTAAGCTCTGTGAGGGCAAGGGCTTTTTCTCTCCTGTTCACTACCATGTCTCTCACACTTAACACCATTGCTGGCACATAGTAGCTACATAATATGTACCTGTGGAAGGAAGGAATGGAAAGAGGGTGGGAAAAATAGAGTAAAAACTGCCATAGTTGAGGATGGCTCAGGGCAGGTAAGAGATATTGAATGCAATAATAACTACAAACAACATATAACATAATACACCTATTTATACTTCCTCTATAGTTTTACACACTCACGAATCACATTTAAACATGTGAAACGCCTTACGGAAAAAGTTAATGTTATGGCTAAAACCTCAGTATACTTAAAAATCAGTATTTTAAAAATCTATTATAGTTTAACTTAAGTAGTTGCAATAACCTTTTTCAATCATTTCAAATTGGTTTAATTATTTGATTACATCCTTCACCCACAATTCTTCATTTTTTTTTAAAGGATGCTTTTGGATAAAGTACCTTTTTTTAATTCTCCCTTCCTACTTTTAACATTATTAAATTTGTCAGTTACCTTGATCCCACTTATATTAAAGTTATCCTCTTTATGAGTCTTCTTTACAAATGGTAACGCTAGCCAGAAGTATGGATTCACTTTGCACTAGCTTATCTTTTTGTTTTGTTTTTTTCTTAACAGAACTCAAATTTGCTGCCTTATAAGTGACTTAAATGACTTCCATTAATCCTACTTATATCAAAAGTGAAAATGAAGGTTTACACATTAAAAGTCTGGATAGGTTGATTATAATTTTTCCAATAAAATACATCCTTTTTATTTTGCATTTATATTTTTCCTTATACTTTATTTTATTTTGGTATTTTTAATTTAGCTTCAAATTAAACACTAAGAGAAGAAAAGATGCTTGTTGGATTTATATTTTTCTAGGCTAAACAACTCTAACCTAACCTTAATATGTTCCTCTTCCCCATGTCTCAAAAACAACTGATCACCAAGCCTAATTGATTCTATCAAAGACATCTTACATCTGTCCCACTGTTTCCATCCTCAATTACACGTTTGCCTTTCACTATGAAAATAGTTTCCTGCTCATCTTGCCTCCAGATTCTGTCAGCTTTCCTCTGCATCCCAGAAATTCATCATCCACACTACTGCCAGAGTGATCTTTCTAAGGACCGGGTGGTGTCACTGAACTACTAAAAACATCCTCAGATATTCCACACTGTTTATTAGGTAAAAGCCCAATCTTTTTACCAGAGTCCTTTGATATCTGCAATTAACTTACACTTTGTGCTTCATATCCCACCAGCTGTGCAAATGCTATTTAAAAGTCACACAGGAGTACTCAGTAATCGTTGAGCTTTGCACCTGTTGTTTTCTGTGCTTGCAACATTCTCTCCCTGAAATTTCTGGTGAACTCCTGCTCAACCATCAAACACTAGCCAAAAAGTTCTCTCTTCCGTGAAGCTTTCTTACAAATCCAGGTTAATTTCAATCGTTGCCTCTATGCTACCATGGAATTACTATATGCCTCTATTACTGCACTTGATATGTTGTAATTATCTGTCTTACCAATTAGATTATTTATGGTTTCCATGAGGACAAAGGCTGTGGCCTAATTAATATTTGCATGTCCACCAGTGCCTGACACATAGTAGATACTCAAAAATATTATGTATTAAGAGAGGATTTATAGGAATTTGTTTTCTTTCCTGTACATATTTCCTAAAAATATTTATTCTGCAGTATTTGAAAAATTATATACTAATTATATGATCAGGCTTATTTCAATTTTCATTTATTAATTCAACAAATATTTGAATTCTTAAAGACACTGATCTTGATTCAATAAGACTCTGACATAGCTTCCTAAGAAGGAGCAGGAACATTTCAATCATGTAACAAGGAGAAAAATAACAGTCAAGATTTTAGCTACTTAAGTGGTATAAGAAGGTCACACCTCAATTTTATTCTTCTATGCACATGGAAAAGGACAATATATTTAATTATTAAATCCTAATATTTAAAAAGATATATCTTAAAAATCACCACTTTATAGATATATCTGTGTCATTTTGAAACACAAACTCTTTGCATTTACTCATATGGCTGTAATCTTATATCAAAATAGGTACATAATATTATTAAAAAATGGGTTAATTTCAACCTAACTGGCTATTTGCACCCTAAACACTTCCTCCTTACCATACTTTATTTTATGACACGCTACCTGAAACTGAGTTTATTATTTGCTGTCTCTGCCATTGGAATAGAAACTCCATGAGGACAGGCATGTAATCTACCTTGTTTATTGCTTTATGTCCAGAACTAAATGTTTAATATAAGCATACATTCAGAAAGAGTCACTATTTTTTAGTATTTCATAGCCTAGTTTTAGCTCTGCCTGTCATTCATCAGTTGTTTAATTCTGGCCAATTATTTATTTTTCCTAAGTTTGTCAATTTTATAGAAAAATGGAGATAAAACATGCAAATCGTCTGGCTACTATAAAGATTAGACAAGCTAATGTATGCAAAATACTTAACACAGTAGAAATAACAATTGCAAAATAGTATTAGTAGAAAATATTACCTTAGAATTAGAAGAAAGCTTAGAGCATCTCATTTCTATCCTTCATCTGTGAGCAGGCAACCCCCCCAGAGATGCTGTAACAAGGGGACATGCAAGCTCCGTTTGACCACCTCCAATGACGCTGAGTTCTCTACCACTGAGGCAATTAATTTCATTGTCCCCAGTTTGATTCCTAAAAGGTATATCCTTTTCTTTGAAGATTTACTGCCACCCCACCACCCACCATAATCCCCAGTATTTGATACAGCTCTGTTTTCTGTGGCTACACAGAACAGCCTATCCTTCTTTTGATTCAACTATTTGAAGATTGTGATCACAGGGCTGAGATCTCTCTTCTTCATAATAAAGCAGGAAATAAAAGATTTCAGTAAAAACCAGTATTGTAGATGTGGTCCAACTGAGGTGTGCCTACCTAGTTCAAAGGACCATGACGCTATCATACCCCTCTTTAATTCATGCAGTTTCCAATTAGCATTTTTGGATGGAGGGTTTGCACGTGTGTGTGTGTTGGGTGTGTGCGTTGAGGAAGGCACATCACAAGTTGACTCATATTCTTCTTTTAGCTGCTGAATCCCTTAAGATTTGTTTTACACATAATGGCCTTAAGTCATCATATTTCTCTATCTTGTAACTTGTCTGTTTATGTAGAAGCATTTTTGTTTGGTAGGCAAATATAGAGGTTTGCATATAATAAATAAAAGTTGTATTACATTTTTCTAGTTAAAGTTATGTTACATGACATGAGAAAAACAACCCCAAAATGCTGTAATAAGAAAAGGATGAATAATTGCTTAAGTGATGATACGACAGACTAAGAAGAAACAAGATGTGGTAGTAAGAAAACTTGAGTACAAGAAGGTTTTGAACAACGTCTCTGGCTGAGCACAGGTGGTTCTATTTCTAACAAATGACATTATCTTAGAAATTACATAATGTGGTTAGGTCTGGTTTAAGAATCTATTCCTTTACTTATAATCTGTCCGTAATATGGCTCAGACATAGTTTTAAGACACGCTCAATTGAACCCATTCATTAAAGTTATGTAGTCATGCAATACAATGACATTTGCCAAAGATTTAAAGATATTCAGATGTGTTATCTATCATATTCACTTCTTCAAAAGTAAAAATGATAAGGAGGTTCTGCCAGGAAGGTAAATGTAAAATCAGCTATAATTTACAAGTTTAAAAGTTATCAAATTCTTAACTAAATTTGAAATAACAGGAAGCAAAAGTGAATTAGACAGACTTATGCCCTAAAAGATTCATTGTTTGGAATAAATATGACAGTAGGAGACATTATAGTGTTGCAGTACAAGAACATGGGTTCTACATTTACACAGGCTGCAGTTCTAGGATTTACTGGCCATGAAGCTTTGGGTCAGTTACCTAATTTCTCAAATATGTTCATTTATCTGTAAAATGGGCCAGAAAGTGTCAATTACTTCTTAGAGTTATTTTTAGAATTAAATGGGATAAAGTATATAAAGCACAATAGTGCCCAGAGAATAATAAGTATGTAATAAATATTGGCTTCCATTACTGTTCTTGGTCTAGCCATTGTCAGAATCATCTTTATCATTTATAATTATTGTTATTAACATTACTACTACTACTATTTCCACTCCTGCTAGCATATGATGATGAGTGGTAATAAGTTAGCTTGAAAAGATATATGATCAGAGCTATGGTTTGGAAAGAAAAATAGTAGAGGTGGACTGTTAAAGGGACAGAGAGAAGAGCTGTCAATAACTTCTGCTATGGTCCAGCAAAGAGATGTAGAGAGCTTTAAAACAGTGGCAGGGATAATGAAAAAACAATGCAATATGAAAGTAAAATAATGAATGGCAATCACTTTCCTAATGCATCTTTTTAAAAAAATCAAGGTACCTAGAATTCATTTAATATTTTCTTCAACTACAGCCTTTCTAATTTTCAATTTGCCCAGCAGGGATGATCTTTAGTCTTTTACATTACTCTGAATTCCTTTTTGGGATTATCATAACAACATAATGATGTTAGGAGCTTTAAGAAACACTCCACACTGTGCTATTTTAAAATTCTTTATGCAACTATTCCTTAGAAAACTTGCAGCAGAGAGAAATGAATGGTATAAAACAAACAAAATGAATAAATTCTTCAATCTACCACTTTCCCCAACTTCCATAATTGAAGCTAAAATCAGAGAACTAGAATATTAAACTGAATAAACAGCAAAAAGAAAGAAATTTTGAGTATCGGCAGAAATTTTAAAGATCATGTTGAAATAAGGAAAGATTATAAATGACATTAGATCTCACTGTAAAGCATTTAATCTTTATTTATGACCTTTTCTTAATTTAAATACATTTTTTAAAGCATCACTTTTTACCAATCTTTAATTCTACCCAGAATGAAGTGTTACATGCAGTTTGCTCACAGAAATTTGTTAACAGAACTTGAGTAGGGCGTGGTACCCAGGAATGGGGATTAGCAGAATGGAAAGAGGCTCTAACATACTAACTTTTCCAGAAGACTGAATGCCTTTGATCATAGCCAAGCAAACCATGACCCAGGCAGCCAGCAAGCAGATGGTCATCTTCCAGTTTAAGCCTCCACTTTCAGAAATGGAACTGGAAATATTCAGTGCTTCTCTGTACCAGTAATAGGTGGTGGCAGAACTTTTTTCGCATTCTGGCTCTACAACTATAGAAATAAAGGTGACACACAATAATTTCAGACTATAAAGAGTAATGATACAATTCTTAACATTTCCTAGAACACTAATACCATTCTACAACAGCATTTAAATTCACAGTTAAGAATATAAAAGCTCAACTACACAAAAATTTGAAAAACCAACAAACATGTATCCTCTTTGACATTTCTTATCATGCATTTCTGAGGTAAGAATATGTGAGTAATTAAAACAAATTCACGTTTATCACCCTTCCCACCCGAGGAATTATTTGATTAACTCCTTAGGGTAGCATTGTCAAGTATGCTAGCTGCTGGCCATATGCAGTTTTTGAAATGGGGCTAGTCTAAAGTGACATGCGCTACAAATGTAAAATTCACACTGGATTTCAGATTTAGTACAAGAAAAATAATGTACATTACTATATTAATAATGTTTATAATAATTGCATGTTGAAATAATATTTTGATATATTAGAATAAGTAAAATATTTCACCTCTTTTTTTTACTTTTCTCAAACATGTCTACTAAAAATATTTAAACTACACATGTGAGTTGCATTCTATGTTTACTGGACATCACACTATAGGAAATTTTTATTTACATCATAGGATGTTAAAAAATGATGAGAAAACTATAAAGCAACAGAACCAAGACATAAAAGCAATTATTTTAATTTAAATTCTTCTCTCTGCCCCCATTTTGTTGGCTTTAATGAAAATGTAAGGCATCAATCAGAGTGTACAAAATAAAAGATTGTCAAAAGTTAATAACTGAACCCTTGCAATATTTTACCCTAATATCATAAGGCACAATAAAGTAATCTGGAAAGAGCTAGAAAACTTAGATGGTCCCAAAAGTCTATCTCTCAGGGTCTGCCAATGCTAAAAGTGAGGAAAGTCTGTTACGATGATAATTTTGAATAATTTTCACATATCACTTAAAAAAATCTTGAAAGCATGTGCCTTTGCCACTCTTATGTTCTTTAAATACAAAAAAAACACACTACATTGTACATGTCTTACAAGTATGTGAAGCATTTTTCACCAGAGGACACTGATCCCAAGGTAGAGGTTGCTGAAAAGACTGAGAAAAATAAAACAAACTCCAGCCAATGATGACGTTGTAGTAGAGAGCCACAAAAAAACACACCTGCAAAATAAAATAATGGGATGCCATTAAAATTCTCAGGCTTTGTCATTTAAAACAATGAGATGAAATGCATGAAACTCCATTTAACATTTTTAAAATCCCCCTTATTTTACTTTTTTATTGAAACACATTATCTTGTCTAAAGCTAGTATCTCTCCTAGGCCATAGAACATCCATTAACAAGATTGCACTGTATCAATATTTATAGCTTGTTTTGCTAGAGTTGTATAGAAACACACACTCAGAGGTTTTATTTAAATGTGAATCATATTATTCAAACCCTGTAAAGATTACAAACATACACCACACCAGGGAACTTACTACACAACTTGCAAATCCAATCCCGCCCAGTTTAGGGCTTATGTAATTCCATACACCAATGCTGCCTCGCCGAATTCTTTGACCCACAGAAAGTTCCAGGAAAAAAAGGGGAATACCTATTACCAGAAGTAGTATTAAATATGGTAAAAGATATGCACCTACAGAAACAAGAACAAATAAAATAGATTATATTTTCAATAGTTACAGTAGAGAATATATTAACTAAAAGATAATTAATTAAAAGATAATATTTGAGTTTCTGTATAGCATAATTGCAGAAAACTTTAAAGAAAATGCAATTTCATTAATTTAAACTTTATAGATTTTGAAACTTAAATTTGCTATGAAGAATTTCTGATAAATAATAATTATTATAAAGTAAGAATATAAATAATTCTAGTTTAATTTTATTGAAAGGGTAAAACAGCTCAATTTTCCATAAAATAATTGATTCTTTAAAATTAGCTGTTTTCTGGAGTATGTTTCACAAACTCCTAGAAATCTTATTCACACAATGGTTATGAAGTCATTCATTGAATTTATCCCAACTCACTGAAATCACACATTCTAAATCTGACATATTAGAATGAATGAGATTTTATGGTACTGACACTGACTTTTTTTTCCCTAAGTAAAATAACATCTATGGCTGCATAGATTGAAAAAGAAAATAAAGAAAAATAGCTTCTACCAGTGACACATGTCATTTTTTCCCATAAATCCTTCATATAAGTACACTTCATGAATCAAATAATTACTTGTTTTCCAAAATTCTGAGAAAAGGTGGTGAGAGTGACTGAGAAATTAAAATATTTAATGTCTGCTGTAAAAATATATATGCTATTATCCCTATAATAGTTTCCATACTTAAAAAAATATTTTTCAGCTGAGTCACAAATGAAGACAGATGACTACTGATTTAAAAATGAACCTGAACAACTTGACAATGTTAGTACCAGATTCTATTAATTGTATAAAAAAGATAAATGTTAAACCTGTCTTCATTTCCACATAAGAATACATATGCAAATTATTATTAGATAACCTCTGAGCTGAGCATTTTACATTCAGATTTCTAATCTGGAGTTTTGTCCAACTAGATACTGTTCTGTGTAGCAGTTAAGTAATGGATGGTACTAATTCTCTTTTTTTATAAGAGGCCATTTACTTTCCTTTTCCCTACTTTAAAAGTAGGAATAAATTTGGGAAGCTATTCAAATTGTTTTGATAGTTATTCAGCTGAAGAAATAAATAGTACTATATTTTTCAAATTATTTATCTCAGTATCTGTATATGTCTGTAATAATGACAATATATAAGAATTTCTCCTTATAGAGTGGTTGATACATATTCTCTACTTTCCTATGTTTGATTTTCAGTCTTTCACACTTAGTTGATTCTACAAAAGAGTATGTAAAGCATTGATGCATTAGCTTATAAAAGTATTGAAATTCTAATTCTAAAATGATTAGTAACATTCAGGAACTGCTGACCTAAAAGTGTTTCCGAAAGGTCTGAAAGTGAATTTTAACACCTGCATCAAATCTTAGATTATGAATGGGTTGTTTACATGCATGTTAATGACTAAGAAAAAAAAGAGAGAGACAGTATTAAGACTGACTCATTGGCAATCTTTTTTCAGTTATGTATGCATGACATGCTATTGGATACTTAGCCCTTTCTTCTAACTCAAATTACTCAACATTAGTCTCCATAGTAAAAATAATCACAGCTAAAATATAATCGAGCATTTACTATTTGCCAAGTACATATCTAAGCACATTACATGTAGTTATTTATTTAGTCCTTAGAAGAATCCAGTGAAGTAAGTACAATTATTAACCCTATTTTACAGTTGTGGAAACTAAACCTGAAGAAGTGAGGTAACTTGTAACTTGTGAAAGGTCACATAGCTAGTGGGAAAAGAGCCAGGCTTTAAACAGTCAAACTGACTTCAAAACGTGACCTGGTAACCTCTATACTCTAGCACTTATTAAGGTTAACCATTGTGCTTTAAGTATAATATCTTTAGACAAATCAACTTATATCAACTCTATCATTTTTTTCTACTTTATTAATAGAAAGTGCTTCAATTTTTTTTTTTGCTAATACCCAATTACTAAATATAAAATCTTTTAGAGCTCTCCAGAAAGAAATTGTACTAAACAAAGTCAACCTGGTTTTTCAGTGAAGACAGCCTTCTACCAGAACAGTATAGCCAACAAGGTTTATTTACAAGATGACAGGTCTCAAAATCAGAATTTATCTTCTGCCAGTCTTGGTAAATGGAATGATTTGTGACAGACAAAACAGCAGGGTAGTGCATAGTTGTGTATAGTCCATTTGATAAATAATTCATATATAATGTTACTGACTAGCTGAGGAGCTTGTCAATAGAGTGATGGGCAGTGCATCACCAACTTCATGCATTGATCCTTCCCTCTCAGACAGATTTGTCAAACAGGCTACTATTTCCAAACCTCTCATTTGCGCCTGCTTGAATGAACTGAAAGATATCTTAAACATATTTTGTCACTATTACACCTCAGCCTTTTATCTGTTAGTAGAAAATATTTTTTCTACTCTTTGTGTGCTGAAATGTAATTTATGGAATAAAAACTTTGAAGCTGAACATATCCCAAAATATTACAGCATTTGAAAATGATAACAATTCATTTGAAAACCATAATAATTCATAAAAAATCATAATAACTACATGTCATTTTTGCTTTTTTGGAAAAGTGAGGCAACTTAAAATTGAGTTAATAAGTCATGGAGAGAAAATTCTGTCTTCCTTCACCAGTATTGTCTTATATCAGAAACTTTTGGTCATTCTTTAAATGGAATAACTGATAGACACAAAGGATGCAACATATGTTAGAAAATTTCCAGTCAGTAATTCAGAGATGTTTATAACATCCACAGAAAGAATTGAAGAATGTATTACTCTTAAGCAATCCCTGAGGATTCCTAGCAAGCCAATCTGCTCCTATGGAAACCTAATCTGAAAACAGAGCTAGGCTCACTTCCCCCAAATGAGTCTCCCTAGCTATACAATGGAATTCATAGTTTCAAAATTAATGAGACTGGAAGCAACAATAGGAGCGATTTGAGAAAACCAATTGCAATTTACGACAGTAATTTATCACTTAAAAAAAAAACAAACAACTTACCACCCCCATTCTTCTGGCATAGGTATGGGAATCGCCACACATTCCCTAAACCTACAGAAAATCCAACCTGGGCCAGGATGTATTGTAGTTTACTGTTCCAAGCTGGTCTTTCATCTTCGATTTCAGATTCTTCTTCAATATCTGTATCTTTCTCTTCTTGGATATTAACAATTAGTTCACTCTTTTTAAAAGCATCATCAGCTGAGTCTTCATTGGAAAGAAGGTCTTTGACAGACTCAATAACCTCATCGTCTAATTCTCTTTTTACCACCTTGCTATTCTTAGGCATTGGAAAGTACAGGAAGTATTATTTTTAAAAACTCTTTTAGCAACTGTTAGTTCTTTTTTTTCTAAACAAAAAAATTTTACTTGGTATGAATGAAGAATGAGGATGATACCAAATAAATCCTTGATTCAAGGTGATAAAGTCTTATGGATCCTGGGTCTGTATGACCAATATTCTGTAGGTACCTGTAAAATTGGAAGTTGAAATGTGATAATATTTAATGATGAAAAAATATTTAAAATACTGGATCACCCTTTCTTGTTAATTTTTATGATGAACAAGGGTTTCTTTCTAGAGAGTATAAAGCATACAATTGTCTTTGGTCTTTCAGAGCTTAATATTTTCAGAAGTGTAAGAACTGTAAAGCACATATAAGTTTCATACACATTTTCTTTTAGCTAACTTCCACCTTCTTACAAAAATCTTAGCTATACCCCAATGCATAATGTATATTTTGTTCATTAGTAATTAAAACTTTGTGACCCTTTTCTTAATTCTTTTCTTCCCTGACTAAAGTAGATCTTTTCTTATATATACCTTATTTTATTCTTTAGAGAATTATATATACAATTGCTTGCCAACTCTGTAAATTTGTCTTATAAATAACCTTTTCTGCTCACATATTCATCCATTCACTTATTTGATTAACTATTATGGGACTTTATAAAATAAAATCATTACTAAAACACATACTGTATGCTTTTAAGAAGTTTATATCTAATAGAGAGAAAGGTACATCTCAAATAACTATGCTACATTGCAGAATTTAAATGATCTAATATCATTACAATAGGAAATATCAGGAATTTAGATAAAATTAGAATTGGGCAGAAATGTAATGAGGCCACACCAAATACAAGGAACATTATAAAAGCAGCAGGAAATGGGGGGGAAAAAACATGATACACATGAGAACATTCTTCTAAGCAATTCAAGGAAAACACTAACATCACTTTGAGATTTTTCTCTTTTTATTTGTATGTTATATCTCATATTCTTTTCCCTATTCAGAAACAGACCAAGTTAAGTGTACAACGCATGTTCTGTGGAACAAATACATTGTCTATTTTAAAAAGTGACTAAACATATGAGTGCTTTTCTTCAAAGCTGGATTGGGAAGCTTTAGAAATTTTAACCTAAGCATTCTGCAATTGATTGCTGTTAAAAAAAATGGAATTTCTTGATAGAACTGCTATTAGATTTACATTAAAAGCTAAAGAAAACAACTGTCATACTTCAATCTTTAATCTTAATGAGCAAGACAGTGCTGGGTAACACAATGAAAAAAACCTTACCCACATAACTAATTAATTTATGACCTTTAGATTTGGATGATGTTTAGTTGTTTTCAAAATTAAAATATATACCCTAAGAGCAAATGTTTACTTATGCAGGATTTGGTAACAGAGTAAACTGTGAAAGAAATATGAAAAAGAAGCATTCCCAAATTTTGAGTAATAGACATATCTCTCTCTAGAATAAGTGAAAAACTTCTCACAGTGACTATTTTAAAGAAGCCAACCAGGTTTTTTTATATATATTTATTTATTTCATCATATTATGGAGGTAAAAATATTGTTAGGGTTACAAATATTGCCCCTGCCCCCCTCCCTCCCCCGATGTGTCCAATCCCCTGGTGGTGTGCATCACACACATTATGGAAGCATACACCCCTTTCCTCTCTCCCTACCGCCTGCCCACCACCTGATAAAAAATTTTGTTTTGATTTTTTTTTGACATTTTGGTTACATTGTATATCTTTGCCTCTCCCTAAGAAGGGTTAGAGTTATGCCCTTCCCCTCCAAAATACTCGCCACAGTCAGTACCAATTTGATGGCGAGTAGATGTACAGCCCATTTTCCATGTCTTGTGTTGCCTCACTTTGGATAACGGGCTTAGGCTTAATCCAGGATAGCATAAACGGTGCTAGCTCACTGTCATTTCTTGGGATTGAGTAATATTCCATTGTGAGCATATACCACATTTTAATTATCCACTCATGAATTGATGGGCTCTTGGGTTGTTTCCATGACCGTGCAATAGTGAATTGTGCTGCTATAAACATTCGGGTGCAGATGTCTTTATAATAGAATGTCTTATGCTCTTTTGGGTAGATGCCCAACAATGCTATTGCAGGGTCGAATGGTATTTCTATTTCTAGCTGTTTGAGGTATCTCCAAATTCTTTTCCACGAAGGTTGCACTAGTTTGCAGTCCCACCAGCAGTGTAGGAGCGTTCCTGTCTCTCTGCATCCTCGCCAGCATTTGTTGTTTTGGGATTTCTTGATATAGGCCATTCTTACTGGGGTTAGGTGGTATCTTATTGTGGTTTTGATTTGCATTTCTCTAGTAATTAGAGAAGTTGAGCATTTCTTTATATGTTTGCATGCCATTATTCTGTCTTCTTTGGAGAAGTTTCTTTTCATTTCTGTCTCCCATTTCTTGATGGGATTGTTTGATTTTTTTCTTGTTAATTTTAGCGAATAGAATTCAGCAGCACATCAAAAAAATAATTCACCATGACCAGGTGGGCTTTATTCCAGAGATGCAAGGATGGTTCAACATATGCAAGTCTATAAATGCAATTCACTTCATAAATAAAATCAAGAACAAAGACCATATGATTCTATCAATAGATGCAGAAAAAGCATTTGACAAAGTCCAACACACCTTTATGATAAAAACTCTTAACAAAATAGGCATAGATGGCTCATACCTTAAACTTATTAAATCCATCTATGACAAACCCACTGCTAATATCATTCTAAATGGAGAAAAATTGAAATCGTTCCCCCTTTGATCCAGATCTAGACAAGGGTGCCCGCTATCTCCTCTCCTATTCAACAGTACTTGAAGTCCTAGCAATAGCAATCAGGCAGGAGAGGGGTATAAAGGGCATTCAAGTAGGGGCAGATGAAATCAAACTCTCGCTCTTCACCGATGATATGATATTATACCTAGAAAACCCCATGTATTCTTCCAAGAGACTCCTAGACTTGATAACCGAATTTGGTAAAGTTTCAGGTTATAAAATCAATATACACAAATCAGAAGCATTCATATATGCCAAGAACCATCAAGCAAAAACTCAAATCAAAAACGCAATACCCTTTACTATAGCCCCAAAGAAAATTAAATATTTAGGAGTATACCTAATGAAAGATACAAAAGATTTATACAAGGAGAACTATGAAACACTAAAAAAAGAAATTGCCGAAGATTTAAACAGATGGAAAAATCTACCTTGTTCATGGATTGGTAGAATCAATATAGTTAAAATGCCAACCAGGTTTTGATAAGAAAATAGTTTATAAGGTTTGAAATTGTATGTGTTTAATTTGCATTATTTTCCTTTAGAGATCAGTAAATATTAGTGGAATAAATGAATCATCATTGCAATCATTGAAAAACTGAAATAAGCTAATTTTGTAACAATTTTTCCTGGAAGAAAACAACCCGACATATAAGAAGTTGTGTTTGTGATATGTGAATTATCCAAACTAAAGGTCTACATTTATTGAATTATCTAAATATAAAAGGCATTGGCATAGTAACAAATGATACATGGATAAGAACATGTTTGTGTCCTAGCTCTACTATTTATTAACTGTGTTAATGCTGGTAATTAAATCTCTCTTTACCTCAGTTTCCACAATAAACATTGATCTCTTATTCTTTTTGCTTTTTTTCATGCAAATAGAAAGGGTAGGAATATATCCAAGTTTAGAGACTATCACAGTAAAAACACCATTTTATAGAGAAAAGCTTTTTAAAAATAGTGTTAAACATGAACCTCCATCAAATTAAGTATCACATTATCTTCTATACATTCTTCTATACAAGAAATACAACAATTTCTTCTATACAAGAAATACAATTTCTTCTATACATTTTTGCCCTTTCAGAAAAAGATACACAAAAAACTCAAAATGAAAAATAACACCTTTGGATACTACTATAAGTTTTTTACATATAAATGAATAATCATTGTCAATTTACATAAGATTTGCATAAGACATCCTTTGGCAACATTTACACTTAAAAATTCTGATCATACTACCTGAAGGTCATATATTCTATTTTAAAAGATCAGTACCTAATGTAAACAATTTAAGTACAACATTATATTTATAAATAAATATACATAAATACATACACTCATATCATATAATAACCCTATGAAATCTTTATAAAGTTTAAATAACTATACTAAAAAGGGACTTTAAATATGTTTTTGCATGAATTTAGAGCTCCTTTACTATTATAAGCAAAAAAATGTGTCAGAATATTAATGTTATAAGTAAATAATTTAAACTCTTTTTGCTTACTGTGTTTCTTACTTTCTCCTACTTCCTGATCTTGTCTGGGATAGTTTTCAGGAGATGTGGGGAAGGAACATAAATAAACAATGAAGTTTTCACAATAACCTGTAAGTCAAGGGGGGAAATGTCATTGCCTGGAGAATAACTTTATCTTACACTCATATTCTCAAAGTTTAAACTTGTCTATCAGATGAACAAACAAAGAAATTTAAAAGTATAATATTCTATAACTAAACATGTATTTTTTGGTTTTGTTTGTCTTTTTGCCTCAAGACCCTGCACCCACTGATCAGAGCCATTTGTTTCTTATACACAGCTTCATATAGCCAAAAGTAAAGATATATTAATATATTGAGTTTCTAGTGATATTTGTAAAAACTTAGTATAGAGACAACAATTTGGAAGCCAAATCAATTTCAAATTTTCAAGAACTGCCTTTTTTTTTTTCTGAAGGTGATGGGCTCTCTTTATTTCTTTTTTTTTTCCCATATGGACTGTATTATATTCATAAATATAAATAAAAGCCAAAGATAATTTGCACTGAGGAAATACATCACCAACATTTTTATAAATACAGGACATGAAAGTCTAATCAGGCATATTTTACTATTTGAATGTCATAGTGCTTTCTAAAAAAATCAATAAACTTAATTATTTTAGAGCATTTTTAGGTTCACAGCAAAAGAGAACGGAAAATACAGAGAGTTCCCACATACACCCTTGTCACCCCACACATGCAAAGCTCCCCCACTATTGACATCCTGTACCACAGTGGTACATTTGTTACAACTGATGAACCTATACTGATACATCATTGTCACCAGAAGTCCATACTTCACATTAGGGTTCACTTTTGGTGCTGTAAATTCTGTGGGTTTGGACAAATATATAATGACATGTATCCACCAGTATAGTATCATACAGAGTAGTTTCAATGTCCTAAATAACTTAGGTATTAGTCCATAAGTGTAGGCCATAATCATAAACTAAAAAGAGATTAAGAAGAAAAGTTGATTATTGCCAAAAGTGTATTGCAATTGCTACATCTGTGAGTAGAATAAGAAATGAAGCAGGAATCTCCAAGAAGCAAGTGAGGCAGAGGAGCAGTGTGCAGCTAGGTTTAGATGATATTGTCTAGATTATATTGTCTTAAATATGATCTAGCTCACATTCTGGTAAAAGGCAGGCTATCAGCCAGGGCACTTTGGTTCTCCAACGTGTAGTCTCTCCAAAATGTTAGCTCCACTTTTTTTACATCATAAACTCATTCTATAGATTTCCAACAGGAGCCAAAAGAAGGTAAGCCCAAGACACTAGTGTTATTGAAGCCTCTGTTTGTGTCACATTTGTTAATGTTTCACTGGCCGAAGCAAGTCTCAAAGCCAAGTCCACATTGATTCAAGACTAGAGAGATAAACTTCACTTCTTGATGGAAGGAGCAACAAAGGCATATTGCAAAGGACATAAGTAGAGGGAAGAGAAAAATATTTTCAACCTTTTTACAAATAATTTTCCACATTTGCCCAGTTAGTTTCCCCCCTGCCCCGGAGTTTGAATCTTGAGGAAAGAAACAAAGAGATCAAAAGTTGGCATCTCATCCAATTCCATGAAAAGTATTATGCCCAGCAACCACTACCGTAGTCATGGATCCTGGTTCCTGGTTTTCAGAACTATTTTCATTCTTGCCCTTTTCCGTCTCATTGCCAAGCACCTCATTGTTTCTTTGAGTGCCTGTGACTCTGCTAATGTTATTTTTCTTTTGCCTAGCATCAGTTTCTACAGCCTACAAACAAAGAACCCTAAGTAAGACACCAATTATAAATGAAAAAAACATTGTTATCTTTTCATTCATCTATCTCTGTGTATGAACAATAATATACAAAAAATGTTGACAACTTTACATTATTTAACATTGGACTTATATTTACATTCTTTGCATTCTCCTATTTTTGTGTTGCTTTAGCTATCTTCATGTATTTTTCAAAAGGAATCTATTTTGAAACTATTGAAATTAGATCCAAAACTTTTTGAAATCAACATAATAAATTTCTAAATCAGTGGTCTTCAACCCCAACCATTTTATGTGTTCTTTTTCAAGATTGTTTCACTTGTTCTAGGCTCTTCTTTCCACATAAATTTTGAAATAAGCTTCACAATTTTCCACAAAACCATAAAAACCAGCCTGCTGGAGTTTTAAATGAGATTGCATTAATTTTATGGATCTATTAATATTTGGGGAGCACCGACATCTAAAAAACTGAATTTTCCAATCTGTGTAGTTGGTATAGCTTTTATTTATGTCTTTTTTACTTTCTTTCAAACATGTTTCAAAGATGTCAGTATACTAGTCTTGCACATCTTCTGTTAAATTTATATGCCTAATTAGTTTTAATTATGTTCTTGGATATGATTTACTTTTCTTCTTAGTTTTAGGTTGCAGTTGTATTTTGCTGGTATGTGGAATAAAATTGATTGTTTTTATCACAGACTTTCCTACAATGATGATAAATCAAGTATTGTATTTTCTTAAAGATTCTTTAGAATTTCCACTTATACAATCATGCCAACAGTAAATAAAGATAATTTAACCTGTACTTTTCAAATTATTTACCTTTAATTTCTTTCCCTTGACTTATTTTTCAGGCTAGGACATCTACTAAAATGTTGAATAGAAGTGCTAAGAGCAAACATCCTCATTTATGTCACAGTGTTGATAGGAAAGTAGTCAATATTTCAGTAAAGAAAAAGTTAGTTATAAACTTTTACATAGATATCAGTTTAGTGAGGTTACTTTTAATTCTTAGTTCAGCAAGGTTTTTATTTTGAATTATGAATCTGTTGAATTTTTACACATAATTTTCTGCCTTTATTAAGATAATTATGTAACTTCTTAGTCTGTTCATATAGCATATTATATTAATTAATTTTGCATCTTAAACCAATGTTTCATATATGGGATAAACCTCACTTAGTCATAATGTGTTACATTTTTAATATATCACTGAAATAAATCTAATATTTTGTTATGGACTTTTTTCAACTACAATTATGTGAATGTGGATCTGCAATGTTTTTTCCTGTATTTTGTTTCTCTGGTTTGGGTGACTTCATAAAAAAAAACTTTTGAAATGATTTCCCTTTTATTTTCTCAGAAAATATGTGTAGGATTGCTTTTATTTCTTCTTTAAATAGTTGGCAGCACTCACCAATAAAGCCATCTGGGCCTGGAGTTTTCTTTCTGAATATATTTTTAATTAAAAATTAAATTTCTTTCATTGATACACAGCTACTTAGATTTTCTTTTTCTTGTTATGTTGGTTTTGGTAAGCTATCTTTTTTTGAGTAATTTTTCTATTTCATCATGAAGGGGTCAAATTTACTGACACAAAATGTTTCATTAATATTCCACATTTTTTTAAATATATGTAGGATTTGTAGTCATATCCCACTTTTTGTTGCTGATTTTGTTTTGACCAGTCTTGCTAATATTTTTCACTATAAAATTAACAATACTTTCTTTCTGTAATTCTTGCTCCATCTTTCAAAATGTTTTGGTTCCCAAACTATTGTTATAATCTGTTTTGAAATTATATTATAGTAAATTTTAATTAACATTTCCAGTGAAAGTATGCAAAGACTGAAATAGCAGGCAGGTACTTGCATCTTAGAAATGTGGGATGACTCAAACACGCTTGCCTGTGCTGTCTAAGTTTTGGCACTTACCATAAGGTTAATATTCTCTAATAAAGCACTAAAACACCAGTAAAGCACTAAAACACCAAGGTTATCTCCATGACCTTGACAATTCAAATTTTACTGAAGAAAATTTTTTTTAAAAAATTTGAACTGTTCTGAACATTGAATCTTAAATTTATTGTGGATGCAAACAAAATATATATTTCTAATTTCCAATAGGATAGAAAGTAAGGCATATCTGAATAAAATAGAAATATGGCAACACTGAAGAAAAACTAGCACAACATGTCAATTAGTTTATAGTTATGGAATAATTGCAAAAAGAAAAAGACAGGAGACTTGATGAAAAACTAAAATAATGATCTTGACAAATAGTACAAAATATTTTCAATAATATCAAATTTAACACAAAAATTTCTTTTGTAAATTATATCTCTCTTTATATAAACTTTTTGCATTGAGCAAAAAGATAAAATCACAGAGCTAATCAAAAGGGAGGGAAATTTTTACAAATGACAATATCAAGTCATAATTTATACTTCATTAAATATATATTTTGCCCAAAAAGGTGAACTATAACACACCTATCAGAATGGCTAAAATTTTCATAAAAAGTAGTAACACTAAATATCGAAGAGGACGTGAAGAAACTAAATCAATCATACACTGCTAGTAGAAATGTAAAAGAGTTATAGCCACCCTGAAAAAAAAAAAAAAGGGCACAGACACTTGTGACACAAAAAAAAACGGGCTCGGGGCCAACACATGAAAAGAAAAACAAAAACAAAAAAACAACAGGTTTTATAGAGAGAAAAATACAAAAAGACTCACACAAAAACCCCCCCGAGTTAAGGGCTAGGACAGGTTTTATAGTCAGAGGGTAATGAGGCGTGATCTGATTGGATCTTGCAATGAGATCATGCCAGGAGATGTGATCTGACTGGATCATGCCATGGTGTCACATTAGGGCTCCACCTGGTTGGATCATGGATTATGCCATGTGGTGTCACCTTCCTAATTCAGTCCCCATTCCTTGGTCCAAGCATTGAGATTCTGCCTGTGGTTCAATGCTTGGCTCATTTAGGCATGCTGAGTTTACATAACTTGTAATGTAGGGATTCATGACAACTGAAAAACAACTCCTGGAGAGTTTTCAAGATGGCTGACTAGAAGCAGCTGGTGTTCATCTCTTCTTCAGAGAGCAATCAGTATATTCATCAAATACCCATATTTTGAACAGATCATTGGAGAAAAATAAAACACTTGAAAGTAGCAGAGAACTGACGAGGAGACACCAAGGGTAGAGACAGAAGATGGACTTCCAGTGCAGGGCTACTGAGAGCCTTGAGCAGCCCCTGGACCCAAACCCAAGGAAGAAGCAAGCAACAGACCTTCAGGGCTCTGCATTC